ATGGAGGTGTGCGACTAGTCTGTTTGAGAGCAGTTCTGTTTTTGAATGGCACTCAAGCATACGCTCAATTAAAATGATTTCGAAATCACTTTGATTGGTAGTGATTTCCACCATTATGAGAATAATAATTACTGTTCGCAAGAGAGATCCACCTCATTGCATTGAAGCGGTCTTTGAAAGGGCAAAAAGGAAAATGACAAAAGAGAAAAGCAAATTAGTCTACATTTTAATTGTTCATCGGAAATACTGTAGCTGGGAGAAAATCATCCCTATAGTAAGAAAAGAAGAAATGCCCAAACTATTTTATTCAGCTTCACTTGCATTTTAAAGCACATTTTTTAAAACTGTCAAGATCCTAAAAAGAAAATCTCTATGCTTTTTTTTTGTTTGACCTTTACTATTTTTTCTATTTTACATTAAGCATTATCCGCAACAACGTTGTTGTGGTTAGAGTTTTACCTGATTCCCCTTCGATCATGCTGCGCAATGACAGTGGGAGGGACTTCATAGCGCTCCAATTTCTCCATACGTAAGCCATCTCGCCTCAGCCTAAAATAAACAAAAACACCAGTTGTCGAGTATTGCAAACCTCGGTTACCGTCTTAGTATGATGCTAAGACACTATTAGTCAGTTCAGTTTGATGTAGCTGTATTCACAACAGCTCTGAAAGCTTTGTGGAAAGACCAGGGCTCAGATGTATAAAGGGCGAATAACGCTATCCAGCGGATAAGTGATAGCAAAACGTATAGCGCTCTCCACCGGATAGAGATTTATCCAGGGGATAGTTTTATCCGACCTTCGAACAACCGGAGCCAGATTGACAATGGAATTAAGGGTAACTATTCCACCGATATCTCTGAGTGCGAGTCTCTCTTGTTGCGACATTGAGTAGGGTCCGCAGAGTTCTGCAATAATACCAAGTAAAGATATAGGGCTGAAGTTGAATCAATACTATTTCTTTCTGGAATACAACCCATGAGGAGAGATCAAAGGATCGAGGACATCAGTTGAAAGGTGACATATGCCGACCTAGAGATATGTCGAGCATACGTACGGTGGTAGTGCCAGGCCCCTCGTAGTTTTGACGTCCCATGGAACCTTCTGGGCTTTGGAAGGAGTCCTATACCGTGAAGTCGGCCTAAGCTCCTCAAACAGATCGCTGACAATCTGCACAGCTAAAAACCTCAAGATGTGAAATTCTGAGCCATTCTTTAGTTCGAATGTGAGCACAACTGGTACATAAGAGTAGCCATATTCGCGTCGATTTTTGCAGCTTATAGAAAATGTACTTCTTTTTCCTATAAAAAGAGGATCAGCGTACGGATCAGGTAAGTAAGAGGCTTTTACAATTCGTCCGCGTTGCGAACCTTATGTCTTAGGGTTACAATACTCTATCGTTGAGTTGATAACAGCGTGGGTCTTACGGGTGTCCTCTAAGGCCTGGCTTCCATATGATCGTCTCGAGCGATGTTATGGAAACTGGGCATGACTGCAAACTCGGCCACTATATTTGTACTATCGGGGTCGTTTGATTTGAATCATTTTTACTATTTCATATACAATCGTCCCAACCGCTTGAACGTTTTTTGCGAAGATTCTGGCAAAAGGCTCTATCTAAACTCTCTCTTTACCCTATTTTAACCGATCATAGTGACGAATCATCTTGATTTGTAAGCCGGAAATAGAGAGGGTGGTGGCAATCATAGCAGCCAAGAATAAACACGGTCGTATAATAATGTATAACATGTGTAATATAGATAAGTCGGGTATAAAGCTGAAAAAAAAATGTTACCTGCGTAAAGATTTCCTCGATCTGGTCCAACTGATGATATATCCGAGTAAATAAAGAAATTCACTTTCCACAAAAGAGTTATGTCCTTCAATTCAACTTCCTCGGTGCCTGTATTTTCCACTACCAAAGTTATTCTTCCACCCTCTCCCTTTCCAACATTTAACTCAATGACACCATTTTCGTCAGCTTGAGGCATGGAGGTGACCATAATTCCATTTTTATCCAATACAAGGGCAGGCCTGTTTTGTTAAAACAAAACAAATTGCTTATAGCACAAACAATTGTTTTGATAATGATGATATCAGTGAAATTGCTTGCACTCTTTCAGATTTCGAATAAATTTTACGTTCTTCTGCACTGCTTTTACCCAAAATATTAGCACAAAGCGACCTCGTTCGCAACGTGCTGCGCAAATTTTCTCAGTGGACAGGCCCTGCCACTTTCTACCTCACTCGATATTGTGGAAACGACGTTTAAAAAAATCGAAAAATGTGAATAAATAACAGCAAAAGAAAAGGAGGTGAAATCGGTTCGTGTTCTCTTGATTCAGATAAAAGTTGAAAGGGAAGTGATTTTGTCTTTGGTTTGGTTGATAAAAGTTATCATCTTTAGGGGTTTCGCTATTGTATGTCAAACGTCTAAATACGTACCGACCCTGCGTAGCATTGCTGAGCGAGACTGGGGCAAGAGAGATCAGACGAGTTGTTTTCACGTGGGTGACTTGTGTCAAGTGTCTGAATCACTTGCGTCCACATCAAAAATTTTTTTCATCGATTATGTAAACAAGGATCGTGAACGTTTCAAAAAATTTCATTTATACTTACTTCTCAACTGATTCTCTAATCTTCTTCAAGACACTCTGTTGACGGTGGCTAACCGTTTCTAAATGATTTTCGAGGGCTGCAATATCCTGAAAACGTCTCCTACAAATCTTGCATCGAGGGTTCCTGCTATAATTTTCTTCTTCCTCGTCAGAACTCGACTCTTCAAGATCCTCAATGGAGAGCATTCGAAGCGCTGCTGCCTCCCCGCTGCCAAAAATAACACGACCGTGGATTTCCTGACATTGGCGTAAGTGATACTTAAGCGTATTAAGCACGGATGAGAAAGAAACTCCAGGTGTACAATATTTAAGACGGTATTTTGATTCAAATACGCTCTTCAAGTCGGTTCTAGGCATTTCATGTTTTAAGTCATTTTCCTCCAAGAACTCAATGAATGTTTTCGCGACACTCTTTATATCATCCAAAGTTCGCCGGAACATCTTGAAATTAAAACTGTCTGCAACAAAAAATTAAATAATAAAACCTCCAGATCTAATAAGGTTGACTTTGTGGTAAGTTTTGTGAAAAATTTAAGTGAGTCACAATCAAAACACTCAAGTTTCTCACGCAGTATTGAAAAAAAGCTTTAGAATTACGAAAACTGTCACGATAATCTGAGAGCAAGTCGATTCAAGTCGAGTCCAAGATCCGTCCTCATCTGCTTGATGGGTTCATGAGCAACGAGGAGAGTCCCCTAAAATCCAAGGAATGCCGATTTTGACGTTCGGACAACAGAGGTATAAATTCGACTCTGAAATTTCACATTTTATCAGCTTTGGAAGGTTTTGCAAGCGCAGTTGTTAACATGGATTTATACTAAACCAGGGTTTAACAAAAGTTTAGCTGATCTTGGGTTTCCCCTCAAAAATACGATTTCGTATTTCCACTTGAGATTCTGAATCATTTGATTCATTTCAATTACCTTAATATTCAATTGATGTCACGTAATGTTTCTCATATTTTTTAAAATCACGCGAGCATGCAAATTTACGACTCGAGACACATCAAGTTAATTACTATGCCGCCAACAGAATTACTCATCACGGAGGTATTTGACATCTTCTTCGACTTTACCGTACTTTGTAACACTGAAATATTCGTCTTTTGACTCAAATTAGTATCAATAACTTTGAAATTAGAAATAATTTATCTTCGGAGACGACAAACAACCATAAAAAACTGAAATGTACAATCTAAAAGAAAGATTTCTCGGAAATTTACACGTCATGTAATCTCGTTGTACCATGCCAGTCGAACAATCAAACTAAGAAAGATCCATCGGTATACAGAGCGAAAAAATTGAGAAAATTTCTGAATTTGAAAGGAATATTCTTTTCTGGTAAAGGGAAAAGCGGCTTCTTCTCGCAATGTTGTTTGCTGTGTCGCTGTTGAACGAGTCCTATCAAATCTGCGCGCTGGTTGATCTTGTAAAAGCTTACGTAGTATAACCTGGTCGCCCTGAACTTTCATGCAAGAAATATTCCGACTCATAAAGGTATTTTACCTCAGAACTCACCTCAAATGTCACTCTAAAGCTGCCACAGCGTTATTTATACCGAAAAAGGAAAGGAGCGTACTTTCCTACATCTTTCTCGATTATCGTCGCTCATCAAAGATATTTTGTAGCCTCGATTCAGCGGAAAAAGAGAGAGCCTTGGGCGAGATTTTCCATATGCGGTAACGGGTCGGTTTGAGAGGTTGCATTGTTTACGATTATCAGCGGCTGGATACAGTTTTCCTAGGCTCTGACCGGTTATATTCAGAGTGCTCAATGACCAATTGTCCCCTTTTGCAGTCGATTGACTTCCACACGTGTATCAGTAAGCGTTGTGCGACAATCACCCATTAATATATTCCTATATTATGGAAAATCCCGTTAAACGGTTTTTGGAGACGTTACTGCTCTTTGACAGATTTTTTTCTCAACCTCAGGATTTTCATTTTTGGGGTAAGACCTCGCTGTTGAATGAATTTAAATCAATTAAATCGATTAAGATTGCGGATAAGTCCATTATGTGCAGGATAGTTCCTCCACATAAGAATGAAAAACTTTTATGGTCATGTTTTGAAATACGCATACACAAAATCAACGATTCTGGTGATATAAGCTATGTGATTGGCCCACCATCTAGTGCTTGTGAATACTAATCACACCCTGTTCGATGAGCAAGGCGTGTTTTCGAAATCAGAAACAAAATGGCTGGCATGAACTCGCGTTTCGCCGATCAACTTATGCAGTGCTTAGTTACTACGATAGCTTTTCTGTGGTTGTATTTATTTGACAGTCAACGAATGCACCGCCTTTTTTCACTATTTGTTTCAGCGCTTAAATTGTTCCTACGATTGTAATGTTTCTCTGTAACATGAAACCTCACCAGTACGTAGTAAATTAGTTTATTGTCTTAACTGTTGTACGGTCTACAAGAGCTCGAGTTCCAAAACAATTCTTAGCAAGTCATGAGGATAAAAGGCTTGAAGTAGCCAAGGAAAGGGCAAACCTTTATTGCCAAGACGGGTCTTTAAGATCTCAGTTCTTGACAGAAGGAAGTTGAGATTAGTACATTTTAGGTACGCGCTGTTGAACTGTTAGAAGGGAATGGCTCTAGCAATCTTGCTCTTGCAAGAGAGAAAAAGGTTGATAAAAGGAAGAGTTGATGAAAAAAAAAAGGTATGATAAAAATCTCTCACGCATCGCTTTTCTAACCTTTATGGCTTCTATCTCAATTGCCTTTTAATTAAAAATTACCAAAAAGCTACGTGTTTATATACCCATGTGTTTGACCATCATTGGGAGCAACTGCTAAGTACACCTGGTCAAACTCAGCAAAAACTGTTTCTGCTCGATTAAACACAAAGTAAAATGCAGGAAAAATAAAAAAGGCAGCACTTCTTTTTCAGAGGCAGCTTTCTTATGAGAAATTCACCTACAGCTCTGAATTTTTCGCTTTTAGCGAGCCAAAAGTTTTACTTTTGAGTAAGTAAAAACTATAAAAACATGTTTAAAACAGCGATTATGACGGACACATGAAATTCGCAAACGGGTTAATAAAATCCGAGTGATAACATTTCTACTTTAAACCACATAACCATCTACTGCCAGTGTAAAGCTTTCAAAGCTTAGAGTTTGCAATTTTCTCAGTTTAAAGTACAGAGAAATAATTAATTATTCAAATGAAACTAACTTACTCCTCGAAGGAAGACAGCACCTGTCCACTTTAAAAGTGTAACAATGCAATTTGTCCCAATTGCAAATCCTAACCTACAAAGTCTAACACTGACATTACAAGTAAAAGTCTTCGGGGATGCTTTGTTAAAAAGTATAATTACAGGATGATAAGATTCTAGCGCAGCTGTAGACTAGAACAGAGACATTACTCGCGCCTAGTCCACTCTGGGTGCTCTTGAAGCTGACGCTGGCTAATTTCCGAGTCTTCGTCGTATTCTGAAGAAGAATTATGTGTAACGGTAATTAGTGTGAGAAGCCAAACGTACAACATGGGTGAAACAAATAACAACACCTTCTCATCATTGTGCATGCTCGTTAAATTTATGTGCCTAGTAATGGCCTTGTTCATTGGTTAGTTTTTTGTCACTCAGTGGTAAAGCGTTGGCCTGCCAATTCCGAGTTCTGGATTTTTTTTTCTTGGAGAACTCAGATTTTTCATCTATTTCTCTTTTCTCGCTCTCTTGACAAAAAAAAAACCATTGACACCTTTACTCGAGTATTTTACAACTGTTCACCGAAGTGGAGATGGCTAGTGGTAGATATCCATCAAAATAAAGTTTAACCAGTTAAAAAGAAATAACCAATGAAAACACGATAATTGGCATATCAGTTATTCTGATTATTTTTTACAGCGAGATTAAATCAGTTCTGCTGTTTACCTGAAGCGGCTGCGGGGAAGATTTTGAATCTTTTTAGAGTGTCTGCTATGTCTTCCATCTTTTCTTTCCTTTCCACGTCAACAGTAGCTTTGATTTCTCGACAAAAATCTACAAAACTAGAAAAAAAAGAGTTGAAATAAGATTTTGCTACATCAGTAGAGAGCACAGAACCTATAGAGTTTAAAATAGAAAAAGTTATGAGTTACCCAAGTTGTATCTAGCACATTCTTTATTTTCTAACAGTTGTTATGAATGTAATCTGTTCCACTCACGTTTTCCAGTTCTCGTCCACGCAGAGCATGTCTGGATTCCCTATGAGAATCAAGAGAGCCTGGGCACGAGTTATGGCCACGTTGAATCTCTGGAGGAAACGAGTAAAATGTTACTCGATAAAAGTGCATTAGATAATCCAAAGGGATGTGGAATACCGGGGTCTCCCTAAAAATTAACGAACTACTTTTTCATCCATACGGGAGCTTCTTTGGGCATGACATAAATGTTTTGCCCTTAGTTAGGGAAAATACCAAAATTATAAATCTCGGGATTCAATGGCTAAAGGAGAGGTATGATAAACGTAAATGTGATAAACAAGTCATTTCTTACCCTTCAAAGGAGTTTTGAACCTTTTTAAAAATGTAGCCAGTCATAATATCTACCATTTTCAATTTACCAACTTTCCCCCAACCACAATTGAATCTTTATTCCTTGAATTAACCAATGATAATAATAAAAATAACAATAGTAGGAATTACGATAAAAAAAACACACAAAAAAAAACCTGCCCCTGCATATGACGGGTTTAGTCAAACACAAAGATTAACTGGAGACCATACCTTGGGATTGTTGAGGAATCCGAGGCGGAAGTCCTTGTCCATCTCCAGATATTCTTTCTCGGTGCTCCTAACTGTTGACAAGATGATTACTCTTCTTTCTTGCCCCTGAAACTCTTCCACGCTGCCAACTTTGATTTCGCCATCAAAGCGTCTTCTTTCAATCATTTTCTGGATCTTTTGCACCTTGCCATGAAAAGAGAATTCTGATAAGCGATAAGGACTGAAAGGTAAACAGTTAATGATGAGATCTTCTGGGATGTTGGACAGACCAGGGTGGGGGAGCCGTCAATTCAACAGATCAACTCTGATCGCTAAAATATTGAGCATGATGCGTGCCAAGGCGTTTACCTTACAATGTACATGGAAGAATGAGGAGACATTTAATTCTTATGGGGAATTAAATGAATTGGAAAGCTGTTTGACATAATTTAATTGTAAAAAAAAAACAAACAAACAAAAAAAGCAAAAAAACATCAAAGAATGTACGCTATCGAATCGTCTAACACCAGGAACAATGCAAGATAAGTTCCATTCTTGTACTTACTTGTCTTCTATAAGGAGATATCACCCCAATCATCTCAGGTCTCAAGTGCTTTAGTCCTCTGCTCCTCACATTGTCGTCTAACAGTTTCCTCAGGTATCGCTCAATAGTTTCCACCTCAGCCACATTAAAGAAAGAAGGGCTGCTGCCTTCTCTCTCGTCCTTACCAAACACCGGATGGAAAATAATCGGAAAGTTCTTATTGGGAAGCTCTTCCCAGCCTATCATCACATTTCTTGGAAAAAACAAGTGAATATTAGCAGTGCAATGTTTTACATTCCGGTTTGGTTGACGTAGGAAAGAGGTGTGAAACAAAGCGCGAGTCATGCGTAGATTAGCATGCTTTTGGGCCTTAAGATAACTCTCCAACGGGTATCACCGCCGGTGTTACGGGCAGCTGGCCAATAAGGTATTGCCTATATTACATTTTCATGAAGCTAGTGTCTTAAAGTGTAGCTGTTTTCTCATTTGCTGTAGCTTTGAAGAAAATATGCGATTTTTTTTTTACCTGAAATCTCCAGCGCATTCATTCAGCTCGTTATCATAAAACAGCTGCTTGGGAATCTCGATAATGGCTCTGTGTGAACGGTAATTGTTCACAAGTTTTGTCAACAGATTTGGATTATAACTCCCTCTGGGTCCACGATCGTAGACAGGGCATGACGTCATCAGCCGTTCCAAAAGAGAAGTTTCTGTGAATAGGAGACAACGGCGGCTCATTTAGAAGGACGTTTTCCCACCTTGTAAGCGGGTAAGTAGCAAAACTCTTTGATTATCTCTTTGGAAATAAATTTTAAATAAATCACGAATTTCAAAGAGCAGAAAGTCTGACATTCGGCTTTTGTCTGAAATGTCAACTTTAGTCTGAATTTTAAATGTTCCTGTTGTCTACTGATAAACGTACTGGAACTGATGATCATAAAGGGCTAGAAGGGAACAGAGAAACAGGGAAATATGTTTACAGTATGTGCTGTTGCAGATGTTATCTGTGATATACTCACCCAGTCCATATTTCTGTGAAATTGGAGATCTGAGGATCGGGCCCAACTGCTTAGGGTCTCCCGCAAGCACCAGCTGACCGCCCCTGGGATTATTGGGGTCCAGGAGGTCCGTCACAGGGATGATACACTCAGGTTCTGTTGCATGACCCGCCTCGTCTATGAAAATGTGCGTGAAGTGATCTCTTGGGAACAATGCTGACACCAACCTGAGAAAATGATGCAAAAAAAAAAAGTTTTGGCAGTCAAACGGCTTGTAGAACGATAACACGAGTTTGTATTTCTTCATTCCTTGACGTTCTTGTTTGCAAGGGAGAAAATATACTCAGATGCTTACATAGCGCCATCACCAGTTTTGATGATGGCAGGTTATTTTCAATTACAGACACGGTGTTACCACCTACCTTCCTGCCGTGACCAGAGTTGTGACAATTATGCGATAGTCGCTCATCAACTCTTCTTTAGAAGGGAAATACACTTCACGTAACACAGGGTCAAAATTTACCACTCGTGCGTCCTGAAAAGTGAACACCAGGTTAAGAAGCTAGATATATCGCTCCGACTATGATTAGTTCAGATGTAGACTTTGCGTAACATTTTTTGGAAAATCTAGGGTCTAAATATTTTAGGCAGTTGAATGCTGGAACTATCTGTCCAAATAATACTATTGTATAAAAATGAATGGAAAGAATTAGACTGTTCACCTTGAGCTTTTGAGGCACAAAGTCCCACGGCCTTGACGCAGCATAAATCCGGAACAATTTGCCTTTATCTACATGAGGCAACAGGCGCTCAGCTAATAAGTCAGCAGCGCTGTTTTCTGGCGAACACGCCAGAATGTAGCTTGAGTCAATCAAAGCGTGCACCTTTAGGTAACGAAAAGAAGATAGACAGCGAATTACAGGTTGCATTTTTCAGTCCATCAATGAAACTGCCAAAATGGTAAAAAAAAAAAATAACCTTGGCCGCTTTCCATTTGTTGGGACAACCCAGCAGACCCTAAATTGAACGATTCAGCGTTGAAAACCAACCAGCCGAACCAGCGTTTACCTACAAGCACAATGCTCCTGTGAGATCTACTTGCAAAATTCGCAAGCGTTTTTGCTGAAAATTTCCGGTGACACTTTACATTGGTTACAGGCGACAACGCGCAACTCGTACGCTAGGAATAGACTTAATCTTTCCATCCAGAACCAGAGCCATTTTTATCAAATAGGCTAGAAATGGGAAAGCTCCCCATTAAATCCTCCTCACCTGTTTAATCGCCTCGACCAAAGTAACCGTCTTTCCAGTTCCGGGGGGTCCAAACACGAGATATGGAGCAGGGCGTGAAGATCCAGACACAATCTTCTGGACCGCCTGCTCCTGTTTGCTGTTCAGATTACGATCGTAAAAGAAACTGAAAACAAGAAATAAATTACAATATTTTGTGTATGAGCCGATTAAAAGTGATCTTAAATTCTGAAAATCTACTTTGCATGTGGTTGTACTAAAAAAGAATAACACCAATGCGGTAAATGTTAACGATCAAGCTTTATAGCGGAGCTCGCAGAGCGTAGCCCCATGATTATACAAAATAGTAGTAACTCATCAAGCCGAAAAAATTTGAATGTACGACCGTACGACCGACCGTACAAGGTGCTACTTTTAGCATGCGCGGCCAACTGTACCACGGGCACTATCTTATAATCAGTCCTCTACACGGACACGGAGAAGTTGCGAATGAAAATCCATTAATATTACCACGCATTTTATCCATAGTAGGGGCTTTAGCTTTGTTGAAGAGACGTGCGGGGAAAAAAAAATGCGAGCTCCGCTTTCAGGCTTGCCTAAATCTATATATTATAAGTAGTTATGCGGACAATAAGAAGCTTTGCATCTCTACGCCGACAGTTAGTAAGACCGCGCTGAAAGAAAAAGATGCTCTCTTGGTTGTATTCATTACCTAGAGAGCTAAATTACTATAAGATCTGCCAAGTCCTAGCTTTAAAACTCTAATGGTAGTATTTTTCCCAGTCGGTATCTAGAACTGGAATGAGTCTGAAGCGTTGTCAAATCCCTATAATTTCTTCCAGACTTTGATTTTCTGCAGTTTCTATATTTGCAGTTTATTTGTGACGATCAGTCTATATCACTAATCATCCACAAGCCAAAATATTATGACTCGTACATTAGTCGTTTCAATACCTTACATCATCGCAGTAATTCTGATTTTGTAATCGCACAGACGGATAATAATAATAATAATAATAAAAGATTTATACCGCGCCAGTATCCTACTGTTCAAAGGCGCCAAAAAAAAAACTTGAACACTTAAGACAGCTAATATTAATTATAAATAATAATAATAATAATAATAATAAAAGATTTATACCACGCCAGTATCCTACTGTTCAACGGCGCCAACAAAAAAGCTTAAACATTAACACTTAAGACAGCTAATATTAATTATAAAAGGCTTTTCTAAAGAGTAAAGTTTTTAATCTACGTTTAAAAACAGAAACAGACTGAGCATTTCTAATTTCACTTGGCAAAGCATTCCATAATGATGGTGCTGCTACAGAGAAGGATCTTGCGCCATATGTTTTCAAGTTATAGGATGGAGAAACCAGAAGGTGCTTGAATGATGAGCGTAGTTGACGCGATGGGGTGTAAGATGTTAGCAGATCACAAATGTACGACGGTGCCAAGTTGTTAAGTGCCTTGTAGGTTATTAGTAAAATCTTAAAAATAATACGTTGGTTAACAGGAAGCCAATGAAGATTGAAAAGAACAGGCGTAATGTGATCATGATTTTTTGTAAGTGTGACGAGGCGCGCCGCGGCATTCTGGACGTGTTGTAGCCTTTTTTTATAGCGTAGGCTGGTAGGCCATACAAAAGGGAATTGCAGAAATCCAGCTTCGAAGATACAAACATATGAACCAGCAATTCAGTAGTGGTCGCTGAAAGATATTTCCTGATATAGCTAATATTTCGCAAATGATAAAATGAAGATTTACAAATGTCAGTAATATGATCCTTAAAGCAAAAATGGCTGTCGAACATAGTGCCGATATTCCTCGCCTTTTGCACGGAAGGGATAGTCTCACCAGCAACTGAAATTTCGTGAAGGAGTGGTCTTGGAAGATGTTTAGCGGAAATTACCAATAATTCAGTTTTGTCTTTATTTAATTTAAGACGATTAACCATCATCCAATGACTGATTTCATCCACACAGCTCTCGATGCTAGAAACCGCTTGATCCCTATCACCCAGTACGGTTGGTTGGAAAGACAAGTAAAGCTGTGAGTCGTCAGCATAAAAATGATAGCTCAGGTTAAATTTCTTTACGATATCTGAAAGCGGTGAAGTATAAAGCAAATACAAAATGGGTCCCAAGACAGATCCTTGTGGCACTCCACATTTAAGGTCATGTTTCGTCGAAGTACCACCATCAACGGAGACATATTGCGTGCGATTCGATAAATAAGATTGCAACCATAATAGAGGCTTCCCAGCTATCCCAAACCGTACACGTAAACGAGAGAGGAGGATGGTATGATCGACTGTATCGAAGGCAGCGGAAAGGTCTAATAACAGTAAGATTACGATTCGACGATTATCAATGGCAGAAAGAATATCATTGTGAACACGAATAAGTGCAGTTTCAGCACTGTGATATTTCTTGTACGCCAACTGGAATGTCTCATTTAACTCATATTCGTTAATGTAGGAGATAAGTTGATTAGCTACCAATTTTTCAATTGCTTTGCTAATAAATGAAAGATTCGATACAGGACGATAATTGCAGAATTGAGTATGATCCAAAGAAGATTTCTTAAGGAGCGGGCGTAACATTGCAACCTTGAGTTGCGAAGGCATCTGACCAGATTCCAATGAGATATTTATGATTTTGGAAATGAAATGCAACAGAACACTAAGTGCATTTCTTGTAACATAACCAGGAAGAGGATCAAGAGCACATGACTTAGCAGCCAGATTCATGATACATGTATGAACTTCATCCGCTGTTACCATTTTGAAAGTATCAAAAGAATATGGACAGGCGTTGTCAACAACAGCAACTGTATCTCGATGAGAGAAAGCAGCAGACGTTATATTACCCCGTATTCTATCTATCTTTGTAGTGAAGTACTTAATAAACTTGTTAGCAAGATCAGTGGGCGATTTGCAGGGGGATATTGAATATCTGTTTTCCTTTGTAGTAGTTTATCAATTATCTTAAAAAGCTGTTTATAATTTGACTGATTCTCATTGATTAATGATGCGAAATAATTCTTCTTGGAATCACGAATTAAGTTGTTGACAGCATCACATCCCTCAATAAACAACTTACGATCAGAAGGAAGTTTGGTCATTCGCCAGCGTCGTTCAAGTTTTCTACGGATCTCTTTAAATTATTTATCTCCTCAGAATACCAAGGTGCAGCGGGACGCAAAGTAACTAACTTTTTTTGCAGTGGAGCATGAGTCTCAAGTATGGTAGTAAGGACTCTGTTATATTGATCAATCAAATAATCCAAGGATGACGATGACGAGGCAAAAAGATCAGGAAGGCTCGAATTCATAACATCAGCACAGAAATTATCAAAATCAATAGATCGAAGCTTTCTGAATGAAATAATCTTCTTGTCGAGCGGCGGCTTATTAAGCGAGAGCTGGAAGTGAACAGCAGCATGATCAGAGATGACAAAAGGAGAACCAATTGTTAAATTCGAAACAATTCTATCATCAGATCTTGTAATCACAAGATCTAAGGTGTGTCGATCTTTATGCGTTGAGCCATGTGTATGTTGAGTAAGATTGAAAGAATCCAACAATTGAAGAAATTCAGTTGAGTGTTGGGAAGAACAGGTGTCAACATGTATATTAAAATCACCAACTAATAATATTCCATCAGGATCAGCGATATAGTGCTCCAGGAACGTAGAAAACTCATCAAGGAACAATGAGGGTGTTAAACCATTCAAGGTCGAGGGAGGTGGGCGATAAACAATAATAACTCTGAGTTTTAAACCGACTGTACTTGACAATAACAAATCCATATATTCAAAGGACAAAAACTTCTTGAGCGGCTGCAACTTTAAGTTGAAAGATGATCGAAATAACAAGCCAACTCCTCCTCCACGAGTAGAACCAGGTCTAGGAACATGATGAAATGAATAACCTGAAGGACATAAATCACGAATAATTAATTCATTGTCAGCATCTGATTGAAGCCATGTTTCTGTCAAGCCAAGAAGACCAATATTATTTTCGACGACAAAGTCCTTGATGATAGTAGTCTTGTTGTTAATTGAACGCGCATTTAGCAAGCAAAAATTCACGAAGCGAGCCCTTGGTGTGTAGCTTTTAATCGGGTTAGGAGTAAGTTCAATTAAATTTCTAAGATTCGATCCAACAGGAGTCTTCATCGTGCATGTAAATCGTGAGGAATTTAATCGACAGCCTTGGGGTGAGACCAAAGCTCGAATATAATTCAAGCGCCGCCGCTTTTCTTGAACTATTTTTCCCGCTCTGCAACCTCTAAACTTTCTTTGACAATTTTTGCCCAGAGGAAGTAAAATACATGGGAGATTCCAGTTGTAGCAGAAGCTCTGAGCACTACGAACAAAAGGCACTAATGGAGAAGTGTGTTGTGAATTGTGATTAAGCCAATTCATCGATTTCGTTGCAGTCGAAAACGCAGAGAACTTATATCCCAGATAGGCGTTTTGTTCTTTATGTATCCCCACCATCCGAGGGGATGTTGGACCAGGATTAGATTCAACGTCCACGAAGATAGTAAGGTCAAATTTTGTAGGCAGACCAAGCGTCAAGTGACCACGTTTGCACCAAGTACAAATCGAGCGCGTAAGTTTGTTTCTTCCATCCACCAATCTAACTGCGCGAGGAGGACCATGACATCTCAGCAATAAAGTAAGAGGACTCTCATAAACCGAAAAATTGATAAATGATGATCGAAAGAGAGTAGGAAAACAAATTAAAAAACCTAATATGATGAGAACAAAGTAACACGTTGCAGCCATCTTGGGCGCATACATTCCGAGAGATGAGAGCAGGCAATGCATGGAAGGCATCTCTTAAGTGTAAAACATGGCAATACCGTGAATTATCACTAAAAGATTATATCCCTATAATTTACAACTTACCTGACTTTCTTCTTAATTTCTCCTTTCTGATCGAGGCAGTCCCTTGATGGGAAGAGAACGTGTCGCATGTCTTGCCTGTTCACAGATGCAATCCGCTCACACGCGCGATGTTCCATCTGTACTGCAAGTCGATGGAAAGTGAACTGGATGTCGAACTTCTTATTCTTAACATAAGGCATACTGAGGAGGAAATTATGAGATACGAGATCACAACACACTCCTAACCCCTTGGAGGCGACTTCCTATAAACAGCAATTTTCTTATGACGCACTCTGCTTTCACAGAAACCTTCGCACTACATTCAGTCGTCAGTCCTTTCTTAGTGAGTCGTTGTAGTTTACCGAGTCTCATTGTTCTACATAGAATAAACCGGCTATCATGAAGTAACAATTCTCATGGTTCGCTTTCTACGCCAGAAAAAGCAACTCATGCAAGACTCTGAGAACAACGACACCATCTTATAATATATTTTGACCAATTCACTACGTACACGTTCATGTCAAAGCCAAGTTTCACATCCAGCATTTGGACTTTGTGCACGATTCCTTCGTATCGCCGCTGTAATACACCCGGCTCGTAGGCATAGATCTTGTCACCGCGTAACACGCACGGGCGATTTTCTGCAAGACCAGGTACCTAAAATTCACACACAAAAACAACAAATAAAAATAAAAACAAAATAAAAAATTAACCACGAAACTGAAATCCTTTTAGTCAATAAAACTCTTCCTATGCGTTCCATGCACGTTTCTTTTTCTCTAAAGGAAAATGAAACCTCAGTGGTCCAATAAAAAAATTATAAAAAATTCATCATGGTATTATAGAAGGACGAGTACTAAACTCCCCGTATCCAAGAAGAAAATTGAACACCAGACCCTGGAGGTTTTCGAAATCAAGCAGTGTGGCCAAAAGAAAATAATCTTTCAGACATAAATGGAAAATAAACGACGAAAAATTGCTTTTCTCGGCATCGGTGTTATATCTGGAAACAAAAGAGGCTTTTAATATAACATGTGTTCTTGATTGGCTCAAGATCATCTACCAACCTCTAAGATCAGAAATTGTCTGTCTCCTCTTTCCTGTTGAAAAACAACCCCTTTCATATCATAGTTTCTGATATCCTTCTGCATTTGTAGTTCTTCCACGTGAAGAAGCAGAGAGAACTTCTCTTTGTAGTCGTAAAAGCTCAAATTCTTTTTCAGTCGCTCACTGAAAACAAGACAAGCAGGTGAGCTGCAGATTATACACCTCATTTTAAAGCACAAAGTTTCCTTACCAAAGTCCTTCTCGGATTTGATTGCTTTTAATGACCTGGGCTTTTACAGTTAAAGGGATTTCGTGAACGTCTAGCTTCTCCATAATTAAGCCATTCCTCTGTAACCTAAAAGGCAAGGAAGATCAAAATAAAAAATATCGGTGACGTTGAATATTTGAATTACATAACTGAGCACATGAGTTATTACCTCTGATTTAATTCGTTTTCTGCCTGAAAGTCAGTAAATAAAAATTATCATGTACGTTACGTTTATAGATTTGAGGAAAGTCTCAGAAAAGTTTTGAACGTATTTTTCATAAAAGAAAAATAGTAATAATGGTAATAATGAGCACTCTATTAACAAGAGTCACTCTTGTTAATACAAGAATTCCTCGGAGGAAATTTTGAATGCCATGAACCACACATTTTGGAGCATAATTAGTTGCATAACCAGTTGCCGAATCTCTTTTGTTTGGAGATGCATTTAACAAATGTCTCTCTCTCTCAGCCTTGCAGGTTGGTTGGTTTATGGCAAGTGGTATTTATGCCTTAAAAGATTTTTTTTTCGAACTCATACTAGCGTTTTCAATGAATTAAAGTATTTCAGTGACACTTCTTCAGGTATTCCGTGGACCAACGCAGACGGATGATGAAAAAGAACAATCACAAAAACCGATGATTGAAAAATCAACAACGCAGAAAATGCCATTCTGTACCGTGGAAGGGGTATCCCTCCAAATGTTTTAACATCCCTGGGAATTTCTGTTGCCCGTTGAGGAGGTTTATACTCTGAGGCCTGCTTCAAGTCATCGTACAAGTCACTCACGATGCGCACGGAAAAAAACCTCAGGATGTGAAACTCCACCCCGTCTCCGGTCTGAAATGTAAGCACACCGGGAACATACGAATAACCAAACTCCCGGCAAGGTTTGCAGCCAATCCTGAACCTCCTCTGACAACCTGTTAAATAAAAAATCCATTTCCTTACGTCACTGTAGAGATATGCATACCATTACGAAGCAATTTAAACTCAGTAGTAAAGCAGTTTTCACAAGATGATGGACTGCCCTCGTTCGACTGAGTCCAAAGCAGTTGACTATATGCGCAATCTAAACACAATACATCTAATATTTTTTGCTCGCGCCGAATGATCAGTTAGACCTACATGAAAAAAAGAAACTAGAAGCGCTTTACGTGGAACCTTGTTATCAAGTTCACGCTCTTAAAAACGTCGAGTCACACTGAAATAGAACAGTTAGTCTGTAGGCGTCGAGATCGGTGTCTATGATGTGCATTTTGGCAGCGATTCCAGAACAGTCCTAAACCATCGGAGACAAATGTTCTTCATAGCAAATCATCTCAACCATTTTATGAATGCCTTATTAAATAGGATTTACTGGAAAATATATGCATTAATCATGAGAAAAATTCCCTCTTCTACTGCAAATATATCTTCCTTCTCTATCATAAGTCTACCCCTCTAATATCAATGTCACAATTAAAGAAAATTGGATGAAACTTAGCAATGGAAATTTCGTAAGTGTTCTGGAGAGCAGGTCGAAAATTACCTGGGTGGAGGCGACCCTCAAAAAACCCAATACTGGATATTTCCGAGTAATCGAAAAAGTTGACACTCCACAGAAGGGTTATATCCTCAAGGGTGATGGTCTCCTTACTGAGGTTCTCTATGATCAACACAATTTGCCCGTATTTTCCACTCTCCACTTTCAATTCAATCACACCATGTTCATCTCCAGCGGGATTTGAAGTAACTCTTATCCCATTTTTGTCAAAGACAAGTTCTGGCCTGGATAAACAAAAACATAAAAAAACGACTTGTTACCGAGGAATTTTCTCAAAGTTTTTTCAGATCTGCTGTTTCCCTTACTTGACAAACATCACCCCTTATTTTGACAACCATACAAGAAACATATATCATCAAATTTCATCCTTAATCTGGTTTATTTTAATGATGTTTGTCACATAAATCTATAGAAATACTTAACTAACGAGAGAAAAGGGGGTTAGTCATGACGGGAGAGCAGTAGGGGGAAACTTACTTCCCGTACTAAGAACAGTTGTGGAAGAAAAATTTAAGATCATCTCTGAACACGTCCAAATTGTCCCTAATTTACATGTGAGCGAAACTTCAATATTACCAAGAAAGCAACCATTATTTAATCATGCAGCTAAATGGAAACAATGAAGTAAATTAAATCATTATTTCTGTAATCTTGTAAGTATTGTAACTAGTTTTTCCTGACTCTCTTTAGGAACGAAATAGATATTAGCAAAAAGCAGAACAATATAATACCTTTGAATTACCTTCCAAAGGAAAACACTTACTTTTCCAGTGATTTTCGAATCGTTATGAGGATATGCTGTTGGCGATGTTTCACCCCTTCAATGTGTTTGCTGTAAGCTCTATCATCTCCAAGATCTCTTTTACATATATTACAATAGAAAGGGCTCAAGCTCGAGGGCGAGCGGTAACAAAGATCATCATCAGGATCATCAGTGAGGAGTGTAAGAGCTGCGGCTTCTCCGCCACCAAAGATAACACGATCTTGAATTTGCTGACAAGCATTTATATGGTACGTGAGCGTGTTCAAAGTTTTGGAGAATGACATACCCAGCGTGTTATAAAAACGGCGAAATTCTCCTTGGTATATCTGCCTCAATTCGTCTACAAACATGTCTTCCTTACGATTGTTGTCCTCCAGAAACTTAACAAACGTTTGGGCAATAATTTTCTCCTGCTCAAGAATTCTTCTCGACTTAGGGTGGCGACTACGAAACATACTGGGAAGGTCTGCAAAGGGAATGATTAAACCGTTTTTAAACGAAAAAGCTTATAAGGTCTAAGAGGTTTAGGGCTTGTGACATCATAAACGGGTATTGTGCAAAAATTCTAAAAATCCTTAATGCTCGGTTTACTTTCGTTTTTTAACGAACTTTCACTTAAAGACTAATTATTGAACTCAGAATGCTTTATTTTATTAGACTTACTAAACAAAGGCTACTGTAGCTCCTGAAACGTCTACACTCGTCTTTTGAATCCTCAAATCAGTGAAAGCTGCGATGGATAATCTCAAATTAAACTGCTCACTAAGAATTTTAAAGCGGCTTGACATACCAGCAGGTTAAAGGTTTCGTTGTAAACCATGATCACACTACGAGAAATTTTAAAATCTTCCTCGACCTCCGATCTTCAATGAACACAGTACTCGGTAGTGGACGAAATTCTCGAGCATTGCAGAAACATATCTGTTGGTAAGCAAGCGAGAGACTATGTCGTCGATATAGCGTTTCCAAACTAGCAGTTTGTTAACATTTTTAATCGAAGATTTGCGTTTCGGTTTTAACCATGAAGATGTTTGCAAACGTTACTGCCTTTTTGGTGACCATGGCGGTTCCATGCGTTCGCAAATACTTTTGTTCTTTGAATTGGAATGAATATGTACTTTCTCTAGCGAAGGCTTGGGGGGCATCTCTGTAATAATTCTCGTATGCTGTGCATACTATGTTTATGCCCTCAACTTGTGGTATATTTGTGCATAAGCTCGTAAGTATCTCGCCGAGTATCACTCCTTTCGGAAGCTTTTTTTTTCTGTTTTTGTTGTATCTTTGAGATATGTGCGATCGGCTGAAGAATTTCAATAGCTTTTCGATCATTCCTTTCGTAGGTGAAAGATTAAATTTTGTTCTAGAGCTTTGCGGCTTTCCGAACTGTCTGGATGTCGGGAAAGGCCTCAAACTGCCACATGCTACTTAAAATGATTAGGGAGATTAAAGTGTCCAGCGACTGGTTCGGATGCGTCCTTGTCATTTCCTTCTACGTCGCGACGGTGTTCTCGGAATCGGTCACCAAGTCGTCTTCATGTTTCGCCTTGGGTTCCGACGTTATGAATGAAAGGACAAGTTTTGCATCGTGAGCGAGCGCACTTGAAAGTTCCAGGTTGGTCATTGGTTTGAATTGAATTTCTGACCAAAAAGTTGCCAAGGTTTTTGTCACGTTTGAATGGAATTAGTGGAGGTTGCGAAAAGATAGTTCCAGTCTCTGAATCGTTTTGAAGTGATTTAAAGTTTTTGAGAATAATAGATTTAACTGTGTGGTTGTGAGGGTGAAATGTAACAGTGAAAATGTGAGAGTGAATGGCATGCGGTCAGTGTTTTCCTTCTCAGCCGTTTGTAGTACTGACTGTCGATCAATTTGTTGGGCGCGGTGGTGGCCCGCTTAAACGACAGAGACAGCATAGCCACGTTTATCGAAATCAAAGTGCTGTGTGAGCAAACTCGTGAATTGACAGAATTGACATGATTTTTTGGATTATGTTTAATGTTATTTGGTTTAGGGAATTTTGTGATTGATTGTCATATTTAGAGTATTAGCAGTAGTTCAGTGTTCGCTAATGTAGCAAAGAAACAAAGTATAAAAAAGGCATTACAATTGAAATAATCATGCAATTACATTTGACAAGGGTGGATAATGTCATGTGTTTTAAACATATGTCATTTTTGTTTCTGGTTCAAAAGAAAAGGTTGAAAGTAAATGCGGGTGAAAAGTGAAATTTACTGTCTATCATTGTAAACATTGAAAAATCAAGGCAATACTGTCTTAATGAAAACATTAATGATTCCCAATCAAATGAGACAAGTGGGAACGAGTTTGAGCGATATAACTTAGCCCGGACTGCCACCGTCATTTTGAATTTCCGCCTGGGTAGATTTTGGTCACGTGCTAGGCAACGTATAATCAAGAACAAAATAGAACTTCATTTCAGGCCTATTTATCAATTTTGTGGTGTATAACTTTAGCATTTCAGTACGTAGTATTTATTTTGAATCTTCAAATTGTCTTGAATCTTCAAATTGTTCTTTAAAAATTCGCTGAAAATCGGTAGCCAAAATTATTTGTTTAGGTGTTATTCGATTTTCGTGTTAACCTGTAATTTCGTCAGTCGCCGGCACCTTTTGTTGCTTCACACAGAAAAAACACATGATACGAAATGTAATGATCGATTTTGTCCCTAGAATCACGCCATAACAGAAAAAGCTTTTGAACACCTCTAAACTCCGAGCGTTTCGGAGAAAGTAATATTTTTAATGAATCTTCGAATTGTTTTCAAGTTCAAGTACTGTAACTTCCAATTTTATGAAAAACGAAGGTTGTTCTCTTATTTCAGTGTGAATCCTGGCACGCTTGCCAGTCGCTGGCGCCGCTTCTTGAAACTAAAACGAGAAAAATAAACTCTTTTAAGATTATTATTAGCTTCTTTTTCACCCCACCACTATTCTCAGCAACAAAGGTCGCCGTTTCGTTTGTTTATTACGCACCAAAAACTATCAAATGCTCTCAAAAGCCTAAAATCGAAAAAAAAGTTTACAGGAATCGACCAATCGAGTGAGCGAGCGAGTGCCATTCTCCACATCATATCTACAACTCGCTCTTGCGCATGCGCGCAATTCACGAGTTAAAAATGACACATTGCCTCTGATTTTTCGGAAAAAAAACAGAGTCGTCACTACATAAACGACGAAGTCTGAGAAACTGAGAAAAAGGTATGGAATACTTGACGTGTATTGAAAGTGAGGATGAATACAACAATTAAACTATGAGAATCTGCAGGTTTGTATTTGGTTGCTGCCTACCTGGATTTTTACCCCGTGCGTGCGGAATACGTGATAAAATGCAAGTTTGAAATAAGAGAGATGGTAAATTTTGAGCTCGGTAAAGAAATAAAGAAAGATGTTTTTTCGTCTTTTCACGAGCGCACGAGTCAATGTTAGATCATCAATTTGGGTTCATTAGGAAGCGCTATGTAAACTCAACGGGAGTTCCTTGTATTAGTTGAGGATGCAATCAGAAAGCCTGACATTTCGAAGAGCGTTCAGAGGTTTCAGCTCGCCATTGATGAAGCAAAAGTCCGGCTTAACCTTGCAGTCTCACCAGGCACTTGGCTTATACCCTCCAATCTTCTCAAAACTCAGAGTACGGTTGGATATAATAACAGCCTGAAGAAAGTTTCGACATGAAGCTGGGAGTCAACAAATCGGTGAATTTGGAGATGAAAATAGTCGGAGTAAGGCACATGAATGGGGGCTCATCAAAAATCAACAGACCGACCTCTAACCCGTCAAATCCAGTTAACAGAAGTTCAGGTGAAGACACCACCAAGGTTAGATGAAACACGAAGCACGAGCGACAGCGAGTCAAATTATGACATAATTAAAGTTGGGTTGATTTCAGCTGGACTGGTCTCAGCCTTCTTGATTCATCGCTTGTTCTTTTGAAAGCGCTCAACCATGAATATGACGGCTCCCACGATTGGAAGCCATGCACTTTGACCGAGGAAGCTGATCACTGATCCAGCAGTCTTAAAAATGAAGCCGACTATTGAACCGATGAGACCTGGAAGAATTCCCGCGATCTTACTTCTATGAGTCTCAAAACCATTTCCAACTCCTTTGGCAACAGATTTCAGGGTTCTTGTCAATGCGCTCACAATCACTCCAATCGTTGTTCCGACTGCGAGCACAACAGCTGAGACTGTGAAACCATATTTCTTGGAAATATTTCTCACTCTCTTTTAATGAAGTGCCTTCTTCAAGTTCTTCTCTCTCATTCTCAAGAGCATCAATCCGCTCTCGATATTATATTATCCTTTCTCTTGCTCTTTCTCTTATAGCTTGGTCTTTCTCATCATCAGCAATCCCCCGATCCTCCTGAATAGACTTCTGCAGCTCCTCAAGTTCGTTATCCTCCGATCAATCAAAACTCACGCTCCGGGCCAAGTGAGGTTTTGATTTGTTTTAGGAATGATGGATTCAACCTTTGTTCTTTTCACCCCTTTCTTTACTATACAATATGTCTTCTTGCCCTGACCAAATATCTTTAACTGTAACCTTCCTTTTTTACTATAAGAAACCTCAAGTTCAGAAGCTTTTGCCTCAAGATAAATTCTGGTAGGCGATTATCATGCATTCTCATTCGAAGTGATGACTCGCGAATTAGCAGTATCACCTTCAATGAGCTGAACTGAGCGAAGCTCTTCTTAGCAGTAATGTTTGCTGTTTTATGGTCCACATGCAGCTTTTGAAAACAATAAGCCTGGCGATGTTCTATCCGTTTGCGGCCGTCTTTGTTGTTTATAAGTCGCGCCACTCAATTTAGCGGGATGATCGTGCATGGGACACAATGATTTGGATCTACTCTTCTCCAGACATAAAAACCCTTTCGAGCCTCCTTAGTGAACGCTTCTTTTACGAAGTTTGGTTGCTACCATTAGATGCACAGGGCTTCGAAGCTTGAGGCTCCAATCAATTATATAATATTGTTTTGAGCCCAAATTTCCACAGAAATTGGCAATTTTATGGCCATATAGTGCTATTGACACGAATGTGAAATAAATGTACAGTTTTCTGCCCCCGCGTCTGAGAAATTGTGAGAGAATACTGGACAGATGAAAGATATCAGATTATCTATAGTAAACGTGTTACTCATGCTGTGAAAATGGCGGATAGTTGTTTGAGAGAAAATGGAGTTGGAGTTCTGTGCACTGTAGCACGATCATGGTTATTGTTCCTTCACGACGAGGGTGAGTGGAGAATTTTGAATCAAATATTGCTTGAGGTGTTGATGAATTGCACCGAACATTTTGATTTGCGTAGTTCTTTAACGGAAAGCTGTGTTGCAAGATTCATGATTTGCTGAGTATGCCGATTATATTTTTCTGGATTGGTTTCCTCGGTGCTATCTCTAGATGAATGTCTGATTAAAAGTAACTATGGACGATTTTGTGTGGCTCCTAGGAAGCTTTGTCGCCTCGTGTGACATCGTGTTTGATTGATACGCAATGTTAAGATATGTTTTTATTACATACAACGATTTTTCTACGAAAGATGGCTGAGTTTTCTCCTTGGTAAACATAGTGGTGTGTTACACTTGGATCAGGTCTTTCGATGTTAGAAGTTTGAACAGTTGCAAGTGAGTTGCAAGGTGGATTTTGTGTCATTATTGGCTGTTGAGGGAAATGTTTGGCTGTTTCGAGCGTAATTTTGAGGACACTGGACGAATGCAAATGTTTTCGATGCCTGGGGAAAGTGATCTTGTGGAGTCGTTTATGTTTGGCCATGTTTATTTTCATTCTGTTATCTGGATTGAATGATTTACGGCAATGAATTAATATGACGTGATCTACTAAAGTTGAAAATATATCAAGTCGAGGGAACAGTTTTGGTCTCGGTCCGCATTTTTGTCAACAAAATAAACCCGTACAGCTTAAAAAGATGATAATACGGACTACTTGCAAAGCTGTCAATTGTTTCTCGAATATTGCGCGTGATAAATAATCAATTGTGACATCTCATTTACCTCTACATCTACTTTTATTAAGTTGGTAAAATCTGTACAGAAATCACACCAACCAACTTGCGCTCAATGTGAGGAGACTTTACGAAGGCTTGAAATTATATTAAGAACGATTTTGATCAAGAAACGGGCCAGTAATATTCCACAATAGTGCAAATAATCGTGAGAGCTGATCGTGGAAAAGCGATTGTGTGACGCTCGGTAAGTTGTAAGATGACATGTTACCACATATCAGACGAAAAAACACCTCAAATTCTCAGTCTGCATTTTGTACCCTCCCTGAAGTCTGCAGTCTACATTTTGTACCTAGTCTACATTTTGTATCCGGTCTGCACTCTACATTCTGCAATCTGCAGTCTGCATTTTGTACTAACAGGTATCCATGGCACAGATACAGTTTATTTTTAGTTACAGTTATTCGCACAACACACACAATCGAGCACAAAATACCTGTGTGTGAGTTAATTCGACATTTTCGTTCTTTTTCGCATTAATACTCTTTCCTTTCGTAAAATTGTAGACATCACTTAAAATGATTCAATTAATCCAACCACCCAAAAAAAATAACTCTTGCATGTTTACGATCAGTCTCCGGCCGAATCTTTTAAAAAACCTTTCAAGAGTACTTAAAAAAAAAAGTACTAACAAAGGGTGAAATTTTCAGACCTGGCGACTGCATTCTATCACACCAAAACAACTTGATGCTCTTTTGGTTAATTAGGGGGAAACGCGAGACGTAGTCGAGTGCTTCTTCCCACTTTTTGTTGATCTAGTCGCTTCCTTAGGCCCCATTTACACGGTCTCAGGTACCCGAGACAACCCTCCCCCCTAGTTACCATGGGCGAGCTAACTTTTCACTTATTTCTTGACAAAATTCAGCCGACCGTTTACATGAAATTATGAACTGTCCCGCCAGGCAGCGAGACAACTTTTCCTCATGTAAACACCTCGTCTCGCCGACCTGAGACGAGACAACTCGAACAGAAAATGCGTGCGCACGCCATGACCAGGATATTTACAGCTATTTTTTTTCCTGTCATTTTGTCAAATATGTAACCTGGCTGAACGAAGGTCAGTAGATGTTAGATTTCATATAAACGCTCCGTAAAGTTGTCTCGGGGGAAGGGTTGTTTCGGGTACCCGGGACCATATAAATGGGGCTTTCGTGCTTTATAACAGAAAAGAGTACAGTCAAATTCCACTCGCACGACAGCATGTTTTATACTCTCATAAAACGCGCTAGGATAAGCCAATCAAAATCCTTGTAAGAATTGTTCAAAAACATCTGATCGGCTGAATAAGACTAAAACTGTCAAAATATCAAACCATCAAGGTTTACGAACCATCAAAGTTCACAGTCTGCAATAGTTCGGGAAGTCGAAGTCAATACTTTTGCTTTTAGTTTTTTCAGTCTTGATTCAGAGTCCGAAAGCGAAATGTTCAACGAAACCCGGCCGAATTGTTGCTCATAAAAACACGCATGTTTTGTTACCTGTCAATAAGAAAACAAGTCTCAAGACGTGTGTTTTACCAATGAATGACAGCCGAATTCTCAGGAACATGAAGATTGCTCGAGGTGACAACGCCGAAAAACTTGGCTTCTGTGACCGATGTGGCCTTACAGTCAATGCTTTGAACAGGATATCAGAGCAAGTTTTAAGTTGTTCACTCGAAGGGAGGAAGATTCAATTTCTAAGGCTTCCTTCACTGCGATGACCGGAGATCATCATGATGAGCTAACCGCGATAGACCACAGCATGATCTGCTCTGACGCAATCGTGATTTGGATAAATTTTACAAATTATGCCAGTTTGGTTATATTTTTTCAACCTTTTCTGTTTTGTTCCGTTTTGTTTTTGAACGAGAACTATACATACTATACGAGTGTTCACTGTGTTCGAGTTTAATTACCTTTTTTTGGTTTTTCTGCTGCTTGAAGCCGGCTCCCTTGTTCCAAAAATTCACCTACAATTAGAGGAAAAAAGGTTGAGAGAAGTCAGGGGAATGGTCGGACACAGTGCAAATTGACAGGTGGCGGGACGGCTCTGACTCAGCTCCGTGTTTTGCACTCTGATAAGACACGCTCTTTCAACCAATGACAGCGCGCGTTATATCCGGACTTAATCAAAATTCTCCTTAGAAAGACAAGCCTTTTGCTCCGTTTGGCTGGAAAAATATAAAAGATATGAACCATTTAAATGAGCAAATGACCTTACAGGTCTTTGTCAACGACATTCTTAGTGTTCGTAAAAGTTGGGTTGATTCCATTGCAAAATTTTTCGAAACCCTAATTCCATGACATGAGGGACAATACCCTGACGCTCTGATTTGTGCACTCGTACCCCTATGCTGTGATCTGATTTGTGCGAGATGCATACCCTAATGCGGCTATCTGATTGGTGTAAGCAGCATATCACTCTCTGCACTGACAATAGAGATATTTCTTAAAATGAAAAATACCTCAAAAACAAAATAAAGCAAAACTAAAGAGGGAATAGTTTCCTTTCAAAAATAGTATTAAGTGCAAAAGCTGAAATTGATAAAATTCTTTCTTTACTTTCTTTTCATTAATCAATATAAACTGAGCTAAGTGTTTGTGACTTTTCCATCCCCAAGGTTTCCAAGTTTTACCTCGTTCTGCCAGTTATTTTTCATGACCGTGGACAATACAGCAAGGGATGACTGTTTTTAGAGGACTCATCACAAATTATCATTGTTCAAGACAAACTCTTTATATTAACCTTTAACTTCCAGAAGTGATTGAAAAATGTAACTTCCTAAAATATCCGTTATCCACTTTATCCAGCAAACACGTAACGAGAATACAATACTCAAATTTCACAGGAAGAAGTTGTAATCTTGATCTAATGCCAAGTTCTTGTAACTAATTCACAAGGAAATGTGTAACAGCTAGATGGGAGATTTAACAATCAGATCTTGGCAGTCAAAAATTGACTGTGTAGGGTTTCTGTAAAACCCATGCCAAAATTTTAGTTTGTTAAATTTCTCAATAACAAATTTTCATTTAAGTCTTGCAGTTACCTTTTATTTTCTCTGATTTTGCAACCTCTATCTTCTCTTTCCATTTTTCCAAATGTGGTTCACGACCTTCAGAACTTTTGAAGTATGACTGAGAGCGCAAAGCATCTTGAGCAAAAAATAACAGAAAACAAATTTGCGCTTGCATTCACTTAAAACTGCATTTCAATATACAGTCCAACCTTGAAAATCCAGACTCACAAGGACTGGCCTAAAAGTCCCCATAATAGAGAGTCCAGATAATTATGAGTCCTCATGATTGAAAATATGAATATTATTAAGCCAAAAACAAACAAATTTGAATAAGTTAGTAGAAATATGTAGGTGCCAGTATTATGCCAGAGTTAAAGCACATTTTAAAATCATTGGCGTAAACTGTTAACATTTGCCAAAAGCATTTAACAAAGATTTTTAAAGCTAACCAATGCTTTACATCTACCTGAAATGCTAGCATAATTCAGTTTGTCTCAAGCTGCTACAGCATGTGTCCTTTGCTAAATTCTTAATCATTCTTTGAAGTTGCCAAGTTAGTCAAATTCTGTCAAAACTGTTCTGTCTCACCAATCATGTTAAACACTTCCCAAAACATTCGACTTTGAAAAGTGGAGCAAATTCAGTTCAGTGGGAGTTCTACTATATGTACAAAAAGTACAGACAGATCTTGAATGTGATTTATTTATAATTTATTTATTTAAAATAAATTTATTTTATTTATAATGAGAATACAATACTCAAATTTCACAGGAAGAAGTTGTAATCTTGATCTAATGCCAAGTTCTTGCAACTAATTTACAAGGAAATGTGTAACAGCTAGATGGGAGATTTAACAATCAGATCTTGGCAGTTGAAGATTGACTGTGTGTGGTTTCTGTAAAACACCCATGCCAATATCTTAGTTTGTTAAACTTATCAATAACAAGTTTAAATTTGAATCTTGCAGTTACCTTTCATTTTCTCTGACTCTCCAACTTCTGTCTTTTGTTTCCATTTTTCCAAATGTGGTTCACGGCCTTCAGAAATGTTGAAGTATGACTGAGAGCACAAAGCATCTTGAGAGAAAAAATAACAGAAAACAAATTTGTGCTTGCCATTCACTTAAAACTGCATTGTGATTTATTTATAATTTACTACAAAAATTGGACCACAGAGGCAAGTGCAGAAAATCAAAAAGTCCAGATAATCAAGGGTTGACTGTATAACAAAGATCTAATTTTTCTTCAGAGACACCACATTCACAATTCCTTTGTTCGTAATCACTCCACCACAATTATGGCTGACCAAAACTATTTGCTCACCCATTTTCCATATTAAGTTGATGAATAATTACAAATAAAATTAAACAAAACCCAAGGAAAACAAGCACTTTATAAACAATGATGACAGGTTGCTGGTGCCAGGTTTATTAACAAAAAATAAACAAATAAAGAGAATTCAACAAACTAATAGTGAAACTTTATACTAAGGTAGACCAATATCTTGTAAACAAATCACTTCTAGCACTGTGAGGACTTAAATAGCCAACACAAGCTTGTTCAATCATACAACAAGTTCTGTCCTGATCGGAAACTTTGCATTTACCTTAAAACCCTTTGGTACTCCATTGTGAAAGAGTGATGGATTGTGTCCAAAAAACCTATTAAATATTTTTTGAAAAGATAAGTTGTCTTATGTAACTTTCTGTTGACTAACCTCTAAGTGCAACTCTCTCAAAGTAAACTTTCCTTGCTTTGTACTCTTCTATGTCCATTGTTGTTTTCAGCTTTAGCTCAGTCAGCTTAAATTCCTTCAAGATCTTTTCAGTCACAAAACAATTTTGAACCATTTTACCAAGATGACCAGATGAATAATCTGTCCACAATTTCTCCAAGATTTGGAGAGATTCACACTTCACTGATATCACCAAACTTCCTAAAGAGGCACTTGTAAAAATGACCCTCAGTTCTCTTAAGTATTCCTTAAACATATTATGCTCTTCTATTGACTGTGGTGGTGTGGTCTTAAGGTAATTCATAGCAATTGAGCACAATACTCTATCTTTGAGTGCTTGAGGATCTTCTGTTTCCAATTGAGACAGACTTCCCTCTGTAGGCAACATGGCAGATGCCCTCTGGTATTGAACCCCCTGGCATCCTCCTGACTCTGTTGGTACGGTTGTAGTGGGCATATTGGTTTCGTTAGGTGTACACTCTTCTGCCTCAACCTTTATGTTCAAATCCTCATCTGTTGAATTGTACCAAACAGTCAAATTTGATCCTAGTTTATGTTTTTTTAATCACCTCCCAGCTATTTGACCATTCAGTAAAATATGATTTAGGTACAACAATGTCAAACATACAGAGCTGCAATGAATAGAAACCAACAACATTTCACTGCTATGAAAATTATTACCAAATATTGCTGTTTCAGTTAATTTTGCTAAGTTAGCTCATTGCGGATGATCATCAAAACTCTCAGTGATCTCAATATGAAAACAATTTAAAACATGAAAATATCTAATTAGTGTGACGTAATTCTCACACTTACAGGGTATATGTCATGGTTAAAAATAAACTTTGATCAAAATGATGTTTATAGCTACTTTTGTTTCTGTCTTTCTTCTTCCAAGATAAATTATTAGTATTATAGTTCTCAAACAAAGATTATAATTATACAAACCAATGTGAAAAAACCATCAAGTCCAGCCCATCAAATTTTAAATACAAAAAAATGAAATTTCAACTTCCTTGTGTTTTTACTACTGACGACTGTGTTTACTAAATGCATGTTGTCACTATTGGTCTATTAACAGTTTCACATGCTTCTTAGACCAGCATTGATTAGAAAACTACTGTTCTTTAAGCTGTATGTGTGCACAGCTAGTCATAAAACCACCATTTATGCCATTAAATGTGGAAGTTTCCAGTTCTCTATAAATGAATTACATTGATCTGCCTGCAAACTATTGGGCATCAATATTGTAAATTGCAGTTTAAATGGCTATTTTAAGATTCAATCAGGTTTTAAAAACTTTGCTCACCAACGGGTTTTTTTAAGCAAAGAAATTTTGTGACTTTTAATTCCTGTTTTTATAAAGGAAAATTGTAACATGCACTTGCACTGGCTTGCTTGCATGGTCATTGTTATAAACATAGTGTCATCTCTTAGTTCCCCTTCCTGTTTGGTTAGAAAAGAAGGGGAACAGAAAAGCTATCAGGTTAGATAAAATTCTTCAGCTGATTGCACAAAAACAGAGGCTTTATCTCAAAGGTACAACAGATTTCATCAACTTCACAGAAAAGACAAAGTTTCCAAAAAAAGTGATACTCATTTCAATGGATGTTAAAGGGTAATACACAAATATACCCCCACTCCCCTTCCCCCATTCCAAAGTGCTTACTAGAGAAAGCACTTTCAATTGACTGGTTTTGCAGGAAAGCTCATCCCAATTCATGGAACAAAATTACTTGGAAAAGCACAGAACCAAAGCATGGGCACCAAAATGGCAGTGACTTTTGCAAATATCTTCCTGACTAAAATCCAGAAGCTAATCCTAGGTAAAGATGCTTGTTTGAAATGCTATATCAACTACAAGATCTCTCTCTTGTATACCAACAGATATCTTGCCACCAGTTCATTGAACGAGGAAATAAACACCACCTAACAATCAAATTTACTGCTGAAACATCTTTCCAGAAGCTACTTTCTTAGACACCACTATCTCTAAGAGTGGAAAATTCAACAGGGAGTTAGTTTCAATGTAGGAACCCACTCCAAACCAACAGAAACATTCTAATACACACTCTACACAATGTGTTACCTACAGGGTGAAAGACTTCACTAGAGGCCAGGTGTTATGACTCGCCATGACGTATTCTTCAAAAGAAAAATTTGAAGTGAACATTGGACAGTTGAAAACCAAAGAAACAACACTGAGTACCTGAAAAAATGTTATTGACACTCTCAGAAGTGAAATTTGAATGATGAAAATGGGCCTTCTAACAGGGAAAAACAAACAATCAAATCTTGCTCTTTGTAATACCACAAGACTATTCAACAGATCCAAACCTTATGGAAATCCTTATGAGCAAGTGCATTTAGTACAGCAACCACCATTACTTACAATAGGGAAATCTTCCAAAAACCAGCAGTAACATCATGCAGAAAGGGATGTTCACTCAAACATACTCGTGAGAGCAAAACTATAAGGAAGGTGAGAAAACTGGATATACTATGGAATTGTGTAAACACTTGTGACTTAAATACAGAGAAAATTAGACACTATAGAGTCATTTAGGCCTGTCAACCCCAATTTGCACAGGAGCATTAATCAAGCCTGTTTCTAAAGCATGTAAAGACTTGCCAATGTCTATTTGAGTTAGGGTGACTCATACTGTATCTTAGCAAACCTATGTTGGACCCTCTTTCTTATGTGGCCTAAATATACCTTGGATTTAACTTACAACATAACACAAAATACCAGCAAATCTGAGTAAAAACAGATGTAAATGCAATGAGCTCACCATTAGCTGTTTTCATTACATTTTCAATCATTCTTCTGAATCTTGCACATTCTGTTCTCCAAGAGTAAACCTTCCTGTAGTTCTCTCGCAGCCTCTTAGCATTGGTTTCTCTCTCTTCTGCACTTTCTGCAGACGTCTCTATAATCCTTTGTGCCCATTCACCTACGTCTTCATCTGATTCAACAATGACAGTGTTTCCACCTTCTACCTTTTCTAAAGCCTCAGCTATGCCAGATTCACCAGAAACAAGAATAGGAACGCCAGCAGAAATGGCTTCGAGGGCAACCAGCCCAAAGCCCTCGGTACGGGAAGGGAGAGCGACCAAGTCTGACTGATAGAACATCGTCTTGAGTTCCTCTGGATCACTGCAATAACCACGGATGGTTAGCTGGTTGCGTTTGATGCACGTGTTTCTAAGAAACCACTCCTCAACTTTTGTATGTTCACCAGGAGGTGAGCCAACAAATGTCAGTGTAAAGTTCTTACCGAGAGAACCTATGGCATTTGCAACAATATCGTATCCTTTAAGGGAAAGATCCTCAAAGGTAGCTCGGCCAAACAAGAACACACGAAAGTTCTTTACTAATCTGTGTAAAGCAAACTGTGATTCACAAGAAAACTTTTCGAAGATTCCAGGGGTAACAATCTCCACTTGGACAGTTGGCAGATTTCCACTGTACTTCTGTTGTAGACGTGAGCCAACAGCGACAACTGCATCCGCTGCTTTACACAACTCGATTTCCATCTTGTGCTTCTTCTCATTTTCTTCTATTAAATCGTTGTCAGCCATAGTTGGTCTCTTATATTTCCCAAGGTCCTCACAATAAACGTGGACAAATTGTATCCATTGACACTTTGTAGCCTGTACTAGGAAATAAGCACATCTGCCGAACTTTCTTCCATGGCCTATCACCAGATGAGGATTTGGGAGCTCTGGGGGTGGAAATTTCAAGCACTCGAGGGAGTCAATTGAACCAGGAATACTTCGAGCTGTGATTAAATTTACGCCGTATTGCCTGGCATCTTCTTTGTCCTGATCATCGCTTTTCGAGACGTAGCAGTGGATTTTCATGCTATTAGTTGTCGTTTCTGCCAAGTTAATAGCAAATTCTCGATTGAAAGTTGATAATCCACCTTTCGAAGATTTCCATTCGTCACAGAGAAACACGACATCAATAACCTGCTCTTTCTGCTGCTGTAGGCTACTAACAGCAATAGAAGCTTTGGAAGACGCCATGGTTATTAATGCCACGCTTCCCTTTATCAATGGATAAATCTCAATCCCCTGAAAACCGCAGTCGGTAGAAATTCCAAAGGGCTTTCAAGTCTGACTTCATCTCATTCATACCTTTTGTATAAACACGGAAGTTGCGCCTACAGATCCAAATGGCTATCTGTTCAGCGGTTCAAGAGCTGAAGGCTCAAAACAAAGCTTGTAAGTCTGTCATGTATGGAGAACTAATATATAGATTTAGCCAAGCCTAAAAGCGGAGCTCGCATTTTTTTTTCCCGCACGTCTCAAGGGCACAACGCCTTGCCCGGGCCAGGACTAGAACCCGGGTCGTTCGACTCGAAGCCCAATGCACTGAACACTGGATTACTGGACAAAGCCGTGGCGTTGGCGTGCCCGCGGTACAGTTGACCACGCATGTTAAAAGTAGCACCTTGTACGGTCGTATGGTCGTACAACCAAATTTTTGCGGCTCGATGGGTTACTACTATTTTGTATAATTATGGGGCTACGCTCTGCGAGCTCCGCTATTATGGACACTACTGTATGTAAACGACTATGAATGAATGAAAGTCATATATTTGAAATGCGGTTAAAGACGTGAGAGAGAGATCTTTGCAGTAATGAACACTACTTTAGCAGTAGTGAGAAGAAGACCTGAAAAAAATTCAGGCCTGTACGGAATTTGTACCCATGACCTGCATTTTTTTCAAGCCTTCACTTCACTACTGCTCAAGTACACTCTCATATTACTGTATGTATGTAAAGTATAAGACATAATATGTGTTGAGTAGATAATTATTCCCCATACATGACGTACCTAGGTGAAAGCTTCGTACCCTTTGAACCGTTGTAATGTTCGCTACTTTTTTTCAACTAATGTGACAGATCGGTCTGTCTTCTCCGTAATAAAATCTCACTGAAGTTTCCAGATCTACCTATCGTCTTATTCTCCGCAGATCCAAGGTCGCCTTTCAAATTATTGAACAGGAACGAATCATTTCGTTAATAGTTATTTCTTCCATTGCGTTCAGTAGCCTTCTATTTTTTAACTTGAATTAAAGTCGAATCCTTGAATTAAAATAAATGATATTTGGAGGCTCTCGGCCACACCCCGCGTGCCACCTTTTTGTCGTTACCATTGTAGTCGTTAGTAAATGAACAGACGATGCGACTGACGGCGTCAAATATGGAATATAATTATTAAATTGGCAATGGCCCTCGACCATCGGGCGCGCGGCAATTTCTACAGTTATAAAGAAAAAGCGCAATTGAAAAGAAAATTACACGATCACCGAGTATTCATTGTAAATCAGAGCCCAGATATCCAGAGGCCGGATGACGCCATTCTACAGGTAAGTCGTTATGAAGTGCCTAAGTTATTAGCACGGAGCATACTAGGCTATCCACCGGACTGTGACCTAACCAGTGGATAGTGCTATTTACCATTCAAATAACAGCCCCTAGGTGTACGGGAAACTGTTACCACCAAAAATACAAGCAATATAAACCGTTAAATTTAACAGAATTTATGTAATTATTATTTATAGTACAGTATTACAATTTTTGAGTATGAATTAAGAAAAGAAAAAAAAACATAGGCATGAGGGTGAGGCAAGGTCTCACTGTTAAACCAATTTCAACCGATTGCAAATTCAGATTGCGAATACGTTAATTATGAGGTGGATAGTTTCTTTTCAAACGAATGAAAAACCTTTTTTATGGTCATGTTTCAATTTGAGCTAAGTATGCACACTCTCGACGACGATCTTAATGATTTAAGCAATATGCTAGTGAAGTCAGTGAACCTTCATCACTCCCCATCGCAAGAACAAAGCGTGGTTTTTTTTTAAATCAGAAACACTATGGCTGGGATGAACTCGCGTTTCGCTGATAAACTCAGTATTAAGAAATCTACTAATTACTTAATAGACAACCAAAGCACTGCCCTCTGCCCTTTTTCATTATTTGTTCTGGTGCTTAAATTTTTCCGACAATCTCCACAACACGAAACCTTATTTGTAAATAAATCAGCTAGTTTGTTGTCTTTATTGCCGTACAGTTTACAAGAGCCGACTTATGATACAATTCTTAGCAAGCTAAGAAGATAAGCGGCTTGAAGTATACAAGGATAAAAGAACAATCCTTTATTATCAACAAAAAGCTGGGTGCTTATATACCCTACTGTCTGTGTTTTCATACGAAGTTGACGATTGTCAATGCGAGCAAAAGCTAAACCCGACCAAAGTCAGCCGTACAACTGTCGAGCTAGACATAACACAGATTAATGTAAAACACAAAGAAAATGAAAAAAGAAAAAAAGAAAAAAAAAAGTACAGCTGTTCACTTAAAGATGTGAACTTTTCGCTAAAATCATGTTCAAAAACAGTGAGTATTAAATTGGCAAACAGATTAATATGACCAGAATCATAACATTTGTAATTTAAACAACATAACCATACACTGCTGTCATATAAAGCTTTCAGAGCCGTGTATACGTAATTTCCTTAGTTTTTATGATTAAAAAAAGAATTTCAATATTCTTTAAATGACACTTACTTATTCATCGTCTGAAGACAGCACCTGTCACTTAAGTGTGTAGAAATACTATTTATCACAATTGCAAATCCTAACCTAAAAAATCTAACACTGACAGTTCAAATAAAAAGTCCTCGAAGATGATTTGTTTAAAAAAATTATTACAAGATGACCAGGTTTCAGCGCAGCTGGAGACTGGAACAGGAGCATTTACTCGTGCCTAGTCCACTCTGGGTGTTCTTGAAGCTGACGCTGGCTAATTTCTGAGCCGTCTTCGTCGTATTCTAAAAAATAATTGTGTGTAACGGTAATTAGTATGAGAAGCAAAACGTACAATATGGATAAAACTGTTACGGTATAATCCAACCTACAGAAAAGCACTACCACCTTACAAACTCAACTAATTTATTAAAAGACGAGTAATATTCTTGATGATAAGGAGCGACTCCTAAAGGCAGTACAGTACTTATCCTCGATAAACTTACTTAAGCCCACTACAGTCTATATCTTAGCTCATCACTGACTCAAACTCACAGTTTCCTCTAACGTTTCCTAAAATTAACAATCTTCCACTATAGCTCTCTCTCACGGTATAGCTTTCTAAAAAGTCGGTCACTCCCAACAACAACAACAACTACTACTACATAACTGAATCCTTATATGCCTTCACAAAGTGTTCTGGAACATTCCAGAAGCTTACAAAAGGACTATTTTGCAAAATAGTCCTTTTTTAGTATTTTTTCCTTTTTTACAACAGGACTATAACAGCGTGACTTGATGAAATGTCCTAGAAAGTTCCATGGTACGCATGTCAGCATGACCAAGCAGTCTGGAGATTTCTAAAGGCTTATAATTACAACAACAATTACTCGTAACAAAACAAATAGAAACACCGTATCATCATTGCGCATGGTTGTTAAATTTATTTACCGAATGATAATCTTGTTCATTGGTCAGTTTTTTGTAACTCAGTGGTAGAGCGTTCGTCTGCCAATTCTGAGTTTTTTTTTTCCAGAGGACTCAGATTTTCATTTATTTCTCTTTTCTCGCGCTCTTGACAAAAAAAAAAACCATTGACAGCTTTATTTGAGTATTTAACAACTGTTCACCGAAGTGGAGGTGGCTAGGGGTGGATATTCATCATAATAAAGCTTAACAAATAGAGAACGTGGCATATCAGTGTATCTGTTTCTTTTTTACATCGAGAGTAAACCAGTTCTACTGTTCACCTGAAGCGGCTGCGGAGAAGAGTTTGAGTCTTTTTAAAGTATCTGCAATGTCTTCCACCTTTTCTTTCCTTTCCACGTCAACCGTGGCTTTGTTTTTTCGACAATAATCTACAAAACTAGAAAAAAAAAAGAGTTGAAATAAGATTTTTCTCTAGTAGTAGAGAGCACAGAACCTATATAGTTTAAAAGAGCAAAGGTTATGAATTACCCAAGTTGTATCTGGCACATTCTTTTGTTTTCTAACAGTTGTCATAAATGTAATCTGTTCCACTCACGTTTTCCAGTTCTCGTCCAAGCAGAGCATGTCCGGATTCCCTATGAGAATCAAGAGAGCCTGGGCACGAGTTATGGCCACGTTGAATCTCTGGGGGAAAAGAGTAAAATGTTACTCGATAAAAGTGCATTAGATAATCCAAAGGGATGTGCAATACCGGGGTCTCCCTTTAAGTCCATGAACTACTTTTCCGTCCATACCCGAGCTTCTTTGGGCATGACATAAATGTTTTGCCCTCAGTTAGGGAAAATACCAAAATTATAAACCTTGAGATTCAATGGCTGAGAGTAGAGGTATGATAAACGTAAATGTGATTAAACCAGCCATTTCTTATCCTTCGAAGGAGTTTGGAACCTTTTTAAAAATGTAGCCAGTCATTATTTCTACCACTTTCAATTTACCAATTTTCCCCCAACCACAACTGAATATTTATTCCTTGAATTAACCGATAATAATAATAAAAATAACAATGGTAGGAATTACGATAAAAAATAAACACACAGAAAAGCCTGCCTGTGCATATGACAGTTTAAGTCAAACGCAAAAGTTAACTGGAGACCATACCTTGGGATTGTTGAGGAATCCGAGGCGGAAGTCCTTGTCCATCTCCAGATATTCTTTCTTGGTGCTCCTAACTGTTGACAAGATGATTACTCTTCTTTCTTGCCCCTGAAACTCTTCCACGCTGCCAACTTTGATTTCGTCACCAAAGCGTTTTTTCTCAATCATTTTCTGGATCTTTTGCACCTTGCCATGAAAAGAGAATTCCAATTAGCGATAACGACTGAAAGATAAACAGTTAATGATGAGATCTGCTGGGATGTTAGACAGACCAGGGTGTCCTTGTGATCGCTAAAATATTGAGCGTGATTTGATCCGTGCCAAGGCCTTTACCTTATAGTTGGAAGAATGAGCTCGGGCCACGAGGCCTGGTGACCACAAAACGATAATTGGTAACGTGAACGAGAGACATTCAATTCTTTTGGGGAATTGAATGAATTGGAATGCCGTTTGCCAAGATTTTGTTTGAAAAAAAAAAATTAAAGAATGTACGCTATCGAATCGTCTAACACCAGGAGCAATGGAAGATAGGTTCCACTCTTGTACTTACTTGTCTTTTGTAAGGAGATATCACCCCAACCATCTCAGGTCTCAAGTGCTTTAGTCCTCTGCTTCTCACATTGTCGTCTAACAGTTTCCTCAGGTATCGCTCAATAGTTTCCACCTCAGGCACATTAAAGAAAGAAGGGCTGCTGCCTTCTCTCTCGTCCTTACCAAACACCGGATGGAAAATAATGGGGAAGTTCTTATTCGGAAGCTCTTCCCAGCCTATCATCACATTTCTTGGAAAAAAAACAGGTAAATATCAACACTACAATGTTTTACATTACGGTTTGGTTGACGTAGGAAACTAGTGTCAAATAAAGCGCGAGTCATGCGTAGATTAGCATGCTTTTGGGCCTCAAGACAACTCTCCAATGGGTATCATCGCCTGTGTTATGTGCAGCTTGCTAAAAAGGTATTGCCTACATTACATTTTGATGTAGCTAGTGTCTAAAAGTGTAGCTGTTTTCTCATTTACTATGGCTTTTTAGTATCAGGTTTCTTTAAAAAAAACAATTGCGAATGATTTTTTTTTACCTGAAATCTCCAGCGCATTCATTCAGCTCGTTATCATAAAACAGCTGCTTAGGAATCTCGATAATGGCTTTATGTGAACGGTAATTGTTCACAAGTTTTGTTAACAGATTTGGATCATAACTCCCTCTGGGTCCACGATCGTAGGCAGGACATGACGTCATTAGCCGTTCCAAAAGAGAAGTTTCTGTGAATATAAGACAAAGGCGACTCATTTAAAAGGAAGTTTCAAACGAAGTGAAATGTATGTTGTTTAGGTTGTAGCAAGAGATGAAAGTGTTATGGCTTTTGAAAAAATCGAACGTAAAGGACCTTAAAAATACAACGCATAGCAAGCTTGAAATACGCGCGCTTTAAGTGTGATATCAGAAACAATAGATGAAACAATAAGTTTCGAGGCCTTTGTTTCTTAGCTCCGCCTTGACAAGTTAATGAACTAAGGCAGTATTCCCTTCGGAGGAAAACGCGCGTGATCTTCGACCAATGAGAGCCTCTGTTATATATACCACTGACCTCTTGTAGGCACAGCATGAAATAAAAACTCGTGTGTTGTTTTTAACTCCAACATTGCGGTCGAATGTTGATATGTTACATGGTGTCAGAATAGTGGGATTTCGAGCGCCCCCGAACGAAACTTAGCACAAGGATATGGCAGAAGGATACGCTAACGCGTCGTACAACCGGCCAACGATGAATTGGGCCGCCACGGACCTGAGTAAAGAGTGGGAAAGACATAGTTTGATGCTACTCTGGTTTGCATATTTAATGAATGTAACTGAAGAAGTTACAATTCATAGACCCAACGTTTCGACACTCCTGTCTAGCGCCTTCATCAGGGGTGATCTAAACGCTGCAACAAGAGGTCCTTTTATATGATCACTAATTAGCGGCCTTTTTTCTGACGAGGTGTAAATAGGCGCCAGGAAGCAAACCGTCATCGTCACGATTTAAAGGAGCGTGGACGGAGTTAATATGCCAAGCCTCCAAACAAAGGCGCTGGTGATAACGCCGATTAGTGGTGATAATTTTAGAATTATCCTACCCAATTGTATGGTTGGTTAGGCATGTATGCTCCGATAAAGCTGAATTTCCCTTTTTGCAAAGAAAAACCGCTTTTTGGTGCTCTTTTAACCGTGTACCAAACTGACGTTTGGTCTGTCCGATGTATTCGTTATCACAGTCATTGCAAGGAATAGAATAAATGGCGTCGGTTCGTTGTTCTTTCGTGACAGGATCCTTAGGTTTGGCGAAAATATGCCCCAAAGTCTGAAAAGGTTTTTGAGCAACTTTAACGTTGTGGCTATTCTCTTGATGGGAAAGATTTTATCAACACTGCGAATTTGCTTTCGGAGGACCACTCAGCAAGCGCACGGAAAAAGAGAAAATATGCAACCTGATGAGCTTTGTCGGTGACAAGGGCCGAGAGATTTACCTCACTTTCCAGTGGGACACCGTTCAAGTTGGATCGGGGGAAAACAGACATAACATCAGTGAAAGGGACATACTTGAACGAGTCGCCGAAAAATTCAAGGTACACCTCGAAGCCAAAAAGAACCCAATAACGGCGGCAGTCAAATTCGATCGAAGACGCCAACTGCAAGGGGAAACGTTTGATTCCTTCGTCACTGACCTCAAACTCCTAGAGTACGACAATGTTGCCTGGAAAAAAGCAAAAACCTTACTCTCGAAACAGCCATCAGTATCGGTCGAATGTTCGAGGCCACAAGGGAAGGACTGCAGGTGATGTCAGGTGAAGACCCGAGAATTGAAGTTAGTAAAGTTACATGGAAGAAGGATTCTTCTGAGCAGCATAAAAAGGCGAGAAATTTCAAGAAACCGAAAGGTAACAATGAGCAGGTTCAGAAATGTGACAGGTGTGGATACAATGCACACAAGCCACAAGAAAAGTGTCCAGCCAAGAATGAATCGTGTAATAAGTGCAGGAAAATTGGACACTTTGCCCAAGTGTGCAGAAGTCGGAAAAGTATTGTTAACTTGTTGAATGAAACAAACTATTCGGGAGACGAATATTCCAGTGATGAGGAAGGTGCTGATAGGGACTTACAACTACTACATGTAGCAAGTCTAGAAATAAACAGGATCAACAACCAGAACCCAGGTGAAATGAATGAAATGTTGGAAGGTATCGACCCTACATATGCCATTATGGATGACATATTAATCACAGGTCGTAACGTTGCTCATCATGACTCGGTGCTAGAGGCAGTGCTCCAGCGAGCCAAAAGCTACAACCTCAGGTTGAATTTTGACAAGGTTAAAGTACGCAAGCCCGAAGTCCAATATGTGGGCCACATTATCTCAGCAGAAGGACTCAAACCTGACCCTGAAAAAGTGAAAGCCATGAAGGATATGCCACCTCCAGAAACAAAAGAGGATGTACGCCGATTCCTGGGATCCATACAATATTTGGCCAAGTTCCTCCAAATGCTTGCAGAAGTTGAAACCCCGTTGCGAGAGCTCAATAGAAAAAAAGTAATTTTCCACTGGGATAAGCCACAGGCAGATGCATTCCTAAAGCTCAAAGATATGTGCTGTAAAGTCCCTGTGCTAGCCTACTATGATGTCAATAAGGAAGTGACTATACAGTGTGATGCCAGCAAGGAAGCAGTGGGTGTGGTCCTACTCCAAGAAGGAAGGCCAGTAGCTTACGCGTCTCGCAAACTTCGAGAATCTGAAATCAACTGGGCCCCAATTGAGAAAGAAATGCTGACAATTGTGTTCAGTACACAGAAATTTAGAGAGTAAATTCTAGGCAAAACGATTGTGGTTCAGACCGACCATAAGCCCCTAGAGACGATTCTCCGCAAACCAATAGCAACGGCACCATTAAGATTACAAGCAGTGATGTTGAAAGTAAGCGATTATGACCTAAAAGTGGGGTATCTTCCAGGCAAGAAGCAAGTTCTTGCTGATACCCTTAGGCGAGCAAGTCTGAATGAACTACAAGCGGACGAAGATGAGCTACAAGTAACCATGCTGGAAAGAATATCCATTTCAGAGCCAAAGTATACAGAACTCCAACAAAAAACTACAAACGAGTTCCACGAGCTGTACGCTATGATTCAAGCAGGGTGGCCAGAAACAAAACGTCAGGTCCCACACAGCATACGAGAATACTGGGAGTCACGTGAAGAACTTGCAGTCTTAGATGGTGTAATCTACAGAGGGTTGAAGATTGTGGTACCCCCGTCCATGAGACCAGCCATGCTCGCCTTAATACACGGAACACACCTGGGAATTGTGAAGCGCAAACAGAGGGCCAGGGAAGCGCTTTATTGGCCTGGAATGAGCACTCAAATAGAAGACAAAGTAAAAGACTGTACCATGTGCCACAACTACGCGCCTGCACAGCAGAAACAGCCCCTGATGCCAAGTCCTGTCTCGAATCTGCCGTGGGCGATGGCTGCTTCAGACATCTTCGCCTTTGAAGGTCATCATTACCTGGTACTGGTTGATTATTACTCCAAGTACATTGAAGTAACTAAACTCAATGACCTTACTTCCCAGGATACCATCGAAGCACTGAAGGAACATTTCAGCAGACATGGTATTCCAGCAAAACTGGTGACTGACTGTGGTGTCCAATACACAAGCAAAGAATTTGAGACTTGTCAGAAGCTACAACTTTGAACATATCCTAGTGAGTCCCAAGTGCCCCCGTGCAAATGGAGAAGCAGAGACAGCAGTCAAAACAGTAAAATCACTATGGAGGAAAAACAACGACAAGAACAAAGCACTTCTATAGTACGGAGCAACCCCAATCCAAGGGATTAACCTCTCTTCGTCTCAGCTCTCCATGGGACTTGGGCTATGGACAACACTACCAATAGCTTGTGATCTGCTAGAGCCTGAGGCATACAACATCAAAGAGATAAGAGCAAGAATGAAGTATGGCGAAGAGAAGCTGAAATACTACCATGATCGCCGAGGTACTAAAGAGTTACCCCCGCTTAAGCCTGGTGATTTTGTTAGAATGAAACCCGAAACGGGATCAAAGGAATGGAAAGCAGCGACAGTTGTGCAACAACATACATCACCCAGATCTTACGTAGTCGATGTAAGGGGCCGAAGAATCAGACGAAATAGAGTGACACTAAGAACAGACTCCCCCAAGTCACATGCAGGGTATCAGAGCTGTCATCCAAACATCGGGGAGGCAGAGACAGATCCTGAGAAACCACGTGTAATGCCGCATGCAATGCCACCACCCATGCCAGACACACATACGAAGAAGCTACCATTAGATTACCAGTCAGACCAGTCGGTCACAAGGAAAAGCCCAGCAAGAAAGATACCGCCTTCACCTGAAGTAGCAGCGACTAGTGGCTCGACCTTGTACACAACTCGAAGTGGCAGGCAAGTCAAGAAGCCAGTCAAACTAGACCTATAATTAATTTTCAGAGTTGGACAGGCGTTGTTGTTGTTGTTGTTGATATTATCAAGAGAGGGAAGGGGGAATGTTATGTATACCGCTGACCTCTTGTAGGCACAGCATGAAATAAAAACACTTGTGTTGTTTAACTCCAACATGGCGGTCAAGTGTTGATATGTTACAGCCTCCCTGTTTACGCTTCGCCGCTTATATTACAGATCTATAACATTTTCGTCACTGCAAGTAAATGTCGCGAGAACAATAGGCATTCTGCCCAATGTACCCTCCTTTTAAGCGGGTAAGTATCAAAACTCTTTGATTATCACTTTGGAAATAACTGTTTTAAATAAATCGAAAAAACGAATTTAAAGAGCTGATAGTCTGACTTTAACCTTTTGTCTGAAATGTCAATTTGAATGTTCCTGTTGTCTACTGATAGACATAAAGGAACTCATGATCATAAAGGGCTGGAAGGAGACAGGGGAACAGGGACAGATATTATGTGTGATATACTCACCCAGTCCATATTTCTGTGATATTGGGGATCTGAGGATCGGGCCTAACTGCTTAGGGTCTCCCGCGAGCACCAGCTGACCGCCCCTGGGATTATAGGGGTCCAGGAGGTCCGCCACAGGGATGATACACTCAGGTTCTGTTGCATGACCCGCCTCGTCTATGAAAATGTGTGTGAAGTGACTTCTGGGGAAGAATGCCGACACCAACCTGGGAAAACAATGCAAAAAAAAAAATAAGTTTAGGTAATCAAGGGAGAAAATAAGCTCAGAGGCTTATACAGCGTCATCAGCAATTTTGATGATAGGGTTCTCTAGGAGACACAGTGTTACCACCTACCTTCCTGCCGTTACCAGAGTTGTGACAATTATGCGATAATCGCTCATCAACTCCTCTTTAGAGGGAAAATACACGTCACGTGACACAGGGTCAAAATTTACCACTCGTGCGTCCTGAAAAGTGAACATTAGGTTAAGAAGCTAGATATATATCTCCGACTATGATTAGTTCAGTTGTAGAATTTGTGTAGCATTTTCTGTAAAATCTAGGGTCTAAATATTTATGGCCGTTGAATGCTAAAACTATCTGTCCAATGATGCTATTGCATAACAGTGAGTGGAGAGTCTTCACCTTGAGCTTTGGAGGCACAAAGTCCCACGGCCTCGACGCAGCATACATCCGGAACAATTTGCCTTTGTCCACGTGAGGCAACAGGCGCTCAGCTAATAAGTCAGCAGCGCTGTTTTCTGGCGCACACGCCAGAATGTAGCTTGAGCCAATCAAAGCGTGCACCTGTAAGTAACGAAAAGAAGGTAGACAGCGAATTACTGGTTTCAATTTCAGTCCATTAATGAAACTGCCAGAATGCTATAAAAATAAATAACCTTGGCCGCTTTCCATTCGTCGGAACAAGCCAGCAGACCCTAAATTGAACGATTCAGCGCTGACAACCAACAAGCCGAACTAGAGTTTACCTATGAGTACATAGCCAGTCAGGATTCACGCTCCTGTGAAATCTACTTGCAAAATTCGCAAGCGTTTTTGCTGAAAATTTCCAATGACCCTTTACGTTGGATAAAGGCGACAAAGCGCAACTCGTACGATAGGAATTGACTTAATCTTTCCATTTACACCGGCCAGCCAGAGCCGTTTCCATCAAATAGGCAACAAATGGGAAAGCTTTCTAAGACATTCTCCTCACCTGTTTAATCGCCTCGACCAAAGTAACCGTCTTTCCAGTTCCGGGGGGTCCAAACACTAGATATGGAGCAGGGCGTGAAGATCCTGACACAATCTTCTGGACCGCCTGCTCCTGTTCGCTGTTCAGATTACGATCGTAAAAGAAACTGAAAACAAGAAAAAACGTATTATCTCTCACTTACTTTGTGTAGGAGCCGATTAAAAGTGAACTTTAAGTCTGAAAATCTCCTTTACATGTGGCTGAACCAAAAAAATATAACACCGATGCGGTAAATGTTAACGATCAAGCTTTGTAGATGTAGTTATGTGGACAATGAGAAGCTTTGCATCTCTAGGCTGACCATTAGTAACATCGCACTGAAAGCAAAAAGATGCTCTCCTGATTGCATTCAGTACCTACAGAGCTAAAGTACTTTAAAATTCGGCACAGTCCTAGCCTCAAAACTCTAATGGTAGTATTGTGCCCAGTCGGTATCTAGAACTGGAATGAGTCTGAAGCGCTGTCGAATCCCTATAATTTCCTCCGGACTTTGATTTTCTGTAGTTTCTATATTTACAGTTCACCTGAAAGGATCAGTCTATATCACTAATCATCCACAGGCCAACATATTATGACTCGTACATTAGTTGTTTCAACACTTATCCATCATCGCAGTAATTCCGATTTTGTACCTCTTCAGTGTGGGGAATGACAATACCGTGAATTATCACTAAAAGATTATATCCCTATAATTTACAAATTACCTGACTTCCTTCTGAATTTCTCCCCTTCGATCGAGACAGTCCTTTGATGGGAAAAGAACGTGTCGCATGTCTTGCCTGTTCACAGATGCAATCCGCTCGCACGCGCGATGTTCCATCTGCACTGGAAGTCGATGGAAAGTGAATTGGATGTCGAACTTCTTATTCTTAACATAAGGCATACTGAGGAGGAAATATGAGATAACTAAAGTAACACGCATCATATACGAGATTCAGGAATATAAAAGGCAAAAGAAATATTTTGACGGCACCATCCTCTCTCTGAATTAGTTCGTATGTGTCTCGGGTGTGGTATCTTTGGAACAATATTCTCCTAACCCCTAAGAGGTGACTTCCTATAAACAGCCATTTTCTTATGACGGCCAGGGTTCTGCCTTCAGCTCCTCTCCAATACTTTCGCAAAAACCTTCTTACTACATTCAGTCAGTTTCCCAGTTAATCGTTGTAGTTAACCAATTCTAATCGTCTGTATAGAATGAACCGGCTATCGTGTAGTAACAATTCTCATGGTTCGTTTTCTAGGCCGGTGAAAGCAACTTATGCAAGACTCTGAGAAAAATGATATCTTTTTACCGTGTATTTTGACTAATGCACTACGTACTCGTTCATGTCAAAGCCAAGTTTCACATCTAGCATTTGGACTTTGTGCACAATTCCTTCGTATCTCTGCTTTAATACACCCGGCTCGTAGGCATAGATCTTGTCACCGCGTAACACGGATGGGCGATTTTCTGCAAGACCAGGTACCTAAAACTCACACACAAAAAAAACAAATAAATGTAAAAATAAAAAAAAATTAACCACGAAACTGAAATCCTTTTAGTAAATAAAACTCTTCCTATGAGTTCCTTTTTTTTTTCTTTTTCTCGAGAGGAAAAGTAAAAACTCAGTGGTCCAATAAAAAAATGATAGAAAATTCATCATGGTACTCTCTAAGGACAAGTACTAAATTCACCGAGTCTTCGAAGAAAATTGAATTTCAGACCCCAGGGGTTTTCGAAAGCAAGCAGTGTATCCGAAAGAAAAATAATCTTTCAGGAATAAATGGAAAATAAACGAGGAAGAATTGCTTCTCTCGGCATTGGTGTTATTTCTGGAAAAAAAGAAAGGCTTTTAATATAGCATGTGTTCTTGATTTGCTCAAGAACATCCACCAACCTCTAAGATCAGAAAGCGTCTGTCTCCTCTTTCCTGTTGAAAAACAACTCCTTTCATATCATAGTTTCTGATATCCTTCTGCATTTGTAGTTCTTCCACGTGAAGAAGCAGAGAGAACTTCTCTTTGTAGTTGTCAAAGCTCAAATCCTTTTTCAGTCGCTCACTGAAAACAAGACAAGCAGGTGAGCTGCAGATCATACACCTCCTTTTAAAGCACAAAGTTTCCTTACCAAAGTCCTTCCCGGATTTGATTGCTTTTAATGACCTGGGCTTTTACAGTAAAAGGGATTTCATACAAGTCCAGCCTCTCCATAATTAAGCCATTTCTCTGTAACCTAAAAGGCAAGGAAAATCAAAATAAAAAAATCAGTGACTTTGAATATTTGAATTATTTTGAATATGTGAGTCACTGTGTTATTTCCACTGATTTACTTTATTTTCTGCCTGATTTTAAAGCCGAGAAAAAAGTACAGTTTTGAGCGTTGGAAAGGGGAGGTTGCTCGACTTCATACCTTGGTTTTATGAGTACATGTCACTCGCGTAATCTGATGACAACAAACAGAGACGGTGAAAGTCTCGGAATAGTTCCGGAGGTATTTTTCATAAGAAATAAAATAAAAAAACACCCCACCAGCAAAAGTGAGGAAATCTTGAATGAAACACTTTGAAAAGTATTGAAAAAACTTTCGCTTGCGTTATCGTGAATTAAAGTATTTTAGTTCCATTTCTTCAGGTATTCCGTGGACCAATGCAAACGAATAATGAAAAAAGCAATTACAAAGGAGGATTATTTTAAGATGAGAACCGTGACGAATGCCATACTATACCTTGGAAGGGGTATCCCTCCAAATGTCTTAACATCCCTGGGAATTTCTGGTGCCCGTTGGGGAGGTCGATACTCTGAAGTCGGTTTCAATTCATCGTACAAGTCACTAACGATGCGCACGGAAAAAAACCTCAGGATATGAAACTCCACCCCGTGTTCCATTTGGAATGTGAGCACACCAGGAACATACGAATATCCAAACTCCTGGCGACGTTTGCAGCCAATCCTGAACCTCTTCTGACAACCTAAAAGATGAATTTATTTGCTCACGTCACTGTAAAGATATGCATAACATTACGCAGAACTGTGGGCTCAGTCGTAACTAGGTGTACACGGATTGCTCTCATTCGACTCAGTCCAAACTAGTTTTCTATGTGCTAAATCTATCCATGATAAAGCCTTGTTCCGGCGTTCGAGAATCAGGTAGAACTACCGGAAACAAAACAAGTGTAAGTGTATAAAGTTGAAAGTTCTTATCTAACTATACTCTGAAATCGCATGGACAGAGTGTTTGGGCCTTGACCATGTCGGATCTTGGCGTGTCTGAGGCTTTTTAACAGCAATTCAGTTTGACTACGTACTTAACAGACCTAAATTTACTATGTGATGCATTTTTGGAAAATTCTTCGCCAATGCAAATGAGAAATACAAACATTCATCCAACGGACAATTTTCCCTTTCACTGTAACCATTGTAAATATGTCTTCTTTTTCTGCAATAATTTCATCTCTCTGAAATCAATGGCCACAATTTTAAGGAAAACTGGATGAAAGTTAGCAATTAGGGTTGTAGAGAATAATTCAAGAATTACCTGGGTAGAGTTCGCCCTCATCCTGATCGATACTCGATATCTCCCTGTAATCGAAAAAGTTGACACTCCACAGTAGGGTTATATCCTTCAGGGTGATGTTCTCCTCACCGAGGTTCTCTATGATCAACACAATCTGTCCGTATTTTCCACTCTCCACTTTCAATTCAATCACACCATGTTCATCTGCAGCGGGATCTGAAGTAACTCTTATCCCATTTTTGTCAAAGACAAGTTCTGGTCTGGATGAACAAAAGGGGGAAATTCGCTCTCAACCTGGGAAATCTCCAAAAGTTTTTCAATGTATGATGTTTCACTTACTCCACAAATATCATCCCTTACTTTAATTACCAAAACTAAAAAGGAATGGATTTGATTTAGTGATCTTTGCCATGCAAATTCTTATTAAAAGTTAGTAAAAGGGGGAGAAGAGAGGTACATGACGGGAGAGCTAGTAGAGAAAACTTAATTTCCATACTTAGATGGCTCTCCGTTGATTTTCGAATCCTTGTATTATACGGGGTGTAAGCCACATTAACCATCTTCAATAAATAGTTCAGATAATATATTTTCTTTTTCATCTGCTCATCGAAATGATCAATTTTCATACATTCCGCTATGTGAGCATTTAGTTCAATAATAACTAAACTTCCCTCTTCTTCTTCTTCTTCTTTAAAAAAAAAACTGTTAAATTCCCCATGTTTGACTTTCGCTTAGCTCGTGTTCAACATTAAGTAGTGGTATGGGGTGGGTCTTCCAATTTATCATAAAAAGGGAAAGAATGAAAATTTTCCTCTGTTCCCCTTAATTTTCTTAAACATTTTTGCAAAATAGTGCGTTGGAAGAGCTAGGGCCGACTAAAAGGAATCAGGAATAGAACTACTCGGATGATTCTTGATACATGTATTCGACAGGTATGGTATACATAAGCTTTGGAATCATTTTACTTTTTGACGGGGGGTGAAGTCTGATAGCCGACTCTCAAATATGAAAAGTCTTTGAGATATATTGAAACGAAGAGGCACTTACTTGTTTAGTGATTTTCGAATCGTTATGAGGATATTTTGTTGGCGATGTTTCACACTTTCGAGGTGTTTCTGGTAAGCTATTGAATTCCCAAGACCTCTTTTACAAACATCACAGTAAAAAGGCCGAGAAAAGGTCCACGAGAGCAAGCCGAGACAAAGATCAGTATTATCCTGCGGCTCTTCAGGATCGTCGGTAAGGAGTTGAAGAGCTGCGGCATCTCCACCACCGAAGATTACACGATCTTGAAGTTGCTGGCATTCATTTAAGTGATACGTGAGAGCGTTTAAAACTCTGGAGAATGAAATACCCCAGTCCACGGAGGGATTTAGAAGGCGGAATTCTCCTTGGTAAATGTTCTTTAGTCGAAGCACAGGCATGTCTTCCTTACGACCGTTGTCCTCCAAAAACTTCACAAACGCTTGGGCAACAGTTTTCTCCTGCTCTACAGTTCCGCTCGACCTTGGGCGTCTAAACATACTGGACAGGTCTACAACGGGAAATGATCAAATCTTTAATATGAAAAAGCTTTACAGTTGCGATTTACTCTTACATTTAATGGTCTTTATCCAAATTAAGGTGAAGAGAGAAACATGATCTGCGCAACAAGGTGCGAGGAAACTAAGAAGGCTAAATGAAAATAACCACGACTCCGCATAGGCATGGTTCGTTATTTGCAAAAGAAATTACAGAAAAAGAAGAGAAAAGCACATTCAGTACCACGATCCGCTATTAACCCCCAAATGGTCCGTTGTTTTCCTCTGATTCGTTCGCTAAAATGGATCGATACCTCAGCGAAATCTGGCTAGAAATGAGGGTTCTCAAAATCCTTAATATTTATCTTATTTTCGTTTCTCACCGTGCTTTCAAGACAATATTATAAACTGTCATCTGAAAAAGCACCAATTGTTGAACGCAGAATGTTTGTAATTCTGGATGTTGTTATTTGGATCCCAAAATGAAAGCAGCGATCAACAAACCTAAATCAAACTGCTCACCAAGAATAATTATGCGGCTTTACATAACCAGTGTGTGTATGGTTTATTAAATACCGTGAGAAGTGTCAGAACCTCTTGCGGCCTGCGATCCTCAGTGGACACAATATTAGATAGTCGACTACATTCTCCTGTGTTGCAAAAATATTATTTACGACCCAGGAACCTTCGCATCTGAGCTGTAGCACTTTCAATTTCTCTTATTTCTCTCCTTTGAAATCGATAGCATTAGCAAACCCTGAAACTCCTTAGGATTTCTCTATAAGCTTACTGCACCCCGAGTCAAATCTATGTACCGCTCACAAATTTCAGTAACTAGATGAAACGTTGCATTAGCTTGTATCTCTTCGAGAAAGAATTCTCGGAAAACTACACCGATGATGTCATTTCAAAGTAACGAGCAAAATATGTTCATCGAACAATCGATCGGCCAATGCACCTATGGAGCTGAAAGTTTAGAGTAGGATTTCTCACGACCGAAGGTTCTACGTGAGCCCACAAAAAACTTTATTATTATTACACGTTACAGACTGAAATAAGTACTAGTTGAAAATTTGAAATTCTTATTGAGCATCAAGCCAGCAACACAGGCCGGGATCGCACTTATTATTCAAACAAATTAAGAAACATAATTGCAAAATTACTAAATTCCTTGCCTTTAGAACTCACCTTTGAGCAATAAATGCCTTCGGTTTCTTCCTTTGAATATTATGAGAAGCAAATACAAGTTTATACAGTTTTCCTGCTGATTTGTTCGATTTCTCAGTATCACAGGACCATGACGTCAGATTTCCGAGAATACAGCTGCGACTTGATTACGTTAGATGTCCCGGATATGTATTTGTCCGTCGATTAGTTTAGTGCTAATCCATTAAAATTCCGTGATGTGGACCCAAATAACATGATTTTTTCATGAGATTATTAAGAAGGAAGTATTTTAAGTTCAAAACAAAATGAAATAATCCTCTATTCCTGGAACGAAGCTGATACATTTGTCGCCGAGCTTGAGGGTAATGCTTTCAAGTCCTTTCAGTGCTTTGATGCCATGGGAAATTTGCATCACTTAAGAAATGAGCCGTGAGAAAAGAATGACGGAAACCGAGGGAGCTCCTTGATTAGCAAACTTCGTCGGTAACGGTTATCGATACTAAATCTTACAGCCAGGAACTGAAAACTTTTTTTACTCGGTCCTAGTCAAGTAGGATATGGGAAGTATGAGCTAAGAGTTGATAAAAGTTGCATAGGGATTGATTTCCTACAGGTCCTTCGAAGCCCTACTTCAAAATGTCACGCAACCCATCCTCAGATATGTATTGGAGCGCTGCGTGACGTAGCAAAAGTGACTCTTATGAACAGCATTCTCCATTCTTTTCGAAAGAAAACCTGATACACTTGGCACTGTAGACGTCTCGTGGGTAGCCTGAATCCAATAGTTCAAATTGCGCACCTGGAAACTAAGCTGCACTACTTGATTGCAATTGCCTGCCAGTCACAGTTAAAAGAGGTATCGTAATCAGCTAATGCAAAATTCATCTTTGATAAAAAACGTGGTAGTTTACCATTTATGGCCATGTGAGATCTCACTTCATCCGACTTTTCCAGGACTAAATCGAGGCTCTGTTTGTAAATGCGATAAAATTTGTGAAGAAGAGTTTCGAAATCCTGTTATCACGAAACTGATGACACAAATCAATGGTGTCTTCCTATGGCTTGTAATCTTTCGGAGCTTTTGTACAACGCATTTGTGCATGATATCTCGAAGCAAAAAATAAAAGTTTCTTCAGTCGCTCGATTTCATCGTCGAGGAAGGTAACAAGAGATTTTCGGGTGTCTAAAAAGTTAAATTTTAGGGCCTGCTGCCGGTCAAGGAAAAACACCACAACTATAAAATGAAGTAAACCTCGTTTTACGTCAGCTGGACAATCTTCTATAAATGAAAAACATTGGTCCACCTTCTTCTGGAAATCTATCTACTTCGTCAGATGTTTTGAAAAGGTTGACGTTTGCAGCCTTATATTTTCGGCATTCATCACACCCACAACCCTCCTGAAGAGTTAGTATCTCATCCTCCGTAAGCTCCAGAAAGAACTTGCTGGGATTCATTCCAAAGAATATATTGTAGACGAGGAATTACTTTGCTTCTAGCGAGGGATATCGAAGAGTTCCACCGTAGCTCTTTATTACGTCGACAACTTTGCATCATGGACTGTGACACGAGTCGCCGCCAATGAATAACGCTAAGTACATTGGAGTAATTCTATCTTTATTGGGGCAGTCCACATCAACACCAATAATTTCACTGCTAGCACAGATTTTTTTTTCAAAGACTCTTAAGTTGTAAGAAATTCACTAACAGATGAATTCACTTACAGATGTGAACTTTTCGCTAAAATACTGTTCAAATACAGCAACAATAACGAACACATGAAATTCACAAACAGATTATTATGACCAGAATGATTACATTTGAAATTTAAACCACATAAAATACTGCTGTTACAAATATAAAACAATAACGTGAACAATTTTCTTAGTTTAACATCAAAAAAAAGATTACAAATTATTTAAAGAATGATTATTCATTTGAAATTTAAACCACATAACCACACACTGCTACAAAAGTATATGAAAGTTCAAATAAAAAGTCCTCGAAGATGATTTGTTTAAAAATTAATTACAAGATGATAAGGTTCTAGCGCAGCTGGAGATTGGAATAGAGACATTTACTCGTGCCTAGTCCACTCTGGGTGTTCTTGAAGCTGACGCTGGCTAATTTCTGAGCCGTCTTCGTCATATTCTAAAAGAGAATTGTGTATAACTGTATTAAGTGTTGGAGGGAAAAAGCACAACATGGATAAAACAAATAACAACAATGTATCATCATTCCTCACGCTTGTTAAATTTATGAACATAGTAGAGGCCTTGTTCATAGTTATGTTCTCTGTAACTCAGTGATAGAGCGTTTGTCTGCAAATTCTGAGTTCTGGTTTTTTCTTGGAGAACTCAGATTTTTTCTCTATTTCCTTTTATCTCTTTAAAAGACGATTGACTTCTTTACTCAAATATTTAACAACTATTTGGGATTTTAAGAAAACCACGACGGCAATGAGAACGCAGCCAAACAAAAGATCTATTGAGCAAAACAATAACGAAACACGTGCGTTTTAAAACTTTGTAAATTTCTAAGCCGTCCCAACAGAACAAAAACGTGACTTCACTACGGTGACGTTTTACCACACGTCCCTATTCACTGAAGCGGAGGTGGCTAGGGGTGGATATTCATTGTAATAAAGTTTAACCAACAAAAAAGAAACGACCAATTAAAACACGATAATCGGCATATCAGTTTATCTGATTCTTTTTTACAGCGGGAGTAAATCAATTCTGCTGTTCACCTGAAGCGGCTGAGGAGAAGATTTTGAGTCTTTTTAAAGTATCTGCGATGTCTTCCACCTTTTCTTTCCTTTCCACGTCAACAGTAGCTTTGTTTTCTCGACAATAATCTACAAAACTAGAAAAAAAAAGAGTTGAAATAAGATTTTGCTGCATTAGTAGAGAACACAGAACCTATACAGTTTAAAAGAGCAAAGGTTATGAGTTACTCAAGTTATATCTAGCACATTCTTTTATTTTCTAACAGTTGTCATAAATGTAATCGGTTCCACTCACGTTTTCCAGTTCTCGTCCAAGCAGAGCATGTCCGGATTCCCTATGAGAATCAAGAGAGCCTGGGCACGAGTTATGGCCACGTTGAATCTCTGGGGGATAAGAGTAAAAATGTTACTCGATAAAAGTGCATTAGATAATCCAAAGGGATGTGCGATACCGGAGTCTCCCTGTATATCCATTTACTACTTTTCCATCCATACACGATCTTCTTTGGGCATGACATAAATGTTTTGCCCTCAGTTAGGGAAAATACCAAAATTATAAAACCTTGGGATTCATGGCTAAAGGAGAAGTATGATAAACGTAAATGTGATTAAACCGGCCATTTCTTACCCTTCAAAGGAGTTTTGAACCTTTTTAAACATTTAGCTAGTCATAATTTCTACCATTTTCAATTTACTAACTTTCCCCCAACCACAACTGAATCTTTATTCATTAATGTACCAATAATGTTAAAAAAAATAATAATGGTCGGAATTGCAATAAAAAAAAGCACCAACAAACCTGCCCCTGCATATGGCGGTTTAGTCAAACACAAAGATTAACTGGAGACCATACCTTGGGATTGTTGAGGAATCCGAGGCGGAAGTCCTTGTCCATCTCCAGATATTCTTTCTTGGTGCTCCTAACTGTTGACAAGATGATTACTCTTCTTTCTTGCCCCTGGAACTCTTCCACGCTGCCAACTTTGATTTCGCCACCAAAGCGTCTTTTTTCAATCATTTTCTGGATCTTTTGCACCTTGCCATGAAAAGAGAATTCTAATTAGCAATAACGACTGAAAGATAAACAGTTAATGATGAGATCTGCTGGGA